AAAGAATATTCATGAAGTTAAATAGGTGGCAAAAGGTAAGGGTCCTAGGCAGAAAGAACAGTTTATTTCAAGAAAGCACGGGAAGTTTTCCACCTTGCCTAGTCCTGCAAATGCTGTGGAAGTTATAGTCAACAACAGATATAAATGGTCAGGTAAGACGAATCAGGGCTGGAGGTTATCAGTAATGAGCCCACACCACACGTACGCACACACACAAACATGCTCACGTGTGCACACACACACACTCACTCACATCTACAAAATCATATTTAAGAAATGGAGAAGTGGCGCTTTGAAGGTCATTTCTGTCCCCACACTACCCTCTAGGGTCAAATGCACCCTAATGTGCTGAAAAATTCCAAATTTTCAGAACTTGGCTCCTGGGAGTCCACTGACAGAGACAAAGCTACTTCCCTGCAACTGGGTCCAAGACAGAGAAGTGACATGTTGGTTTATGTGTCCCAACCTAATTTTCCTACCACTCCCCATTCTCAGAGCATCCTCTCTCCTACTGCACCAGCCTAATACTGTTACCATGAGGATCAGGTCGCTGGAAGCTCATAGTTGCTTAGCGCATTGAAAGACCTCAATTAAATCAGCTATAACCCTGTGACTGGCATCGAATTAGGCACTCTTTTTAAGCTAAATGCTTTCAAACTGCCTCTGTTAGTGAGAACTATCATTCCACTACACAGATGAGAAAACTGTGAATGATGGTATAATACCCTCAGGGATACACGCTAATAGTGACAGGAGCAGACAAGTAAGACTCTGTCTTAATTTAAACCCAGCTTAACTTGTATTTAACTAAATCACTGCAAAAGATATAGATCTGCCAACTTCACTTAGAATAAGATGATACTATATTTGACTGACATTTTCTTCATAGAGGTCCTTGCATTATAAGCAAGTACAAGCCATGAGCCCATCCTAAAGCCTAATCAACACTGTAGCGATGGGGACCCCTGGGTTAGGCTCAGAGACCGGCTAAAATCTCCCGGTTTAATGTGAAAGGGTCCTTCTCATGCTTTTTTGACTCCTCCAAATTTTCTTAGTTGGCTGGAAACGACTCAACTCTCAGAATCACACATCTCTTTCACTCATCTGAACACTCTTGTTAGTGCAGATTAGAACTTGTTAAAGATTAATTCTTAAAGCATCCTCAATCTTTTTTTTCCAACAAGAGAAACATCAATTATAGGCTCACATATAAACTTTGCCCCTTTCTTGAATACTTGCTGCCCTTTATAAATCTTAGATTTCTTCCCCTTGAGTATTTGTTCAAAGGAGAGATTTTATTGCCTCCAGGGGTTGTTAAACTGATTGCAATACTGCCTATTTAGAGCAGTTCAGTGGGAATTACGCTGGTTCAATGCTGTCAGACCTAGAATATAGCTGTCAAATAGCATTACAAGTAAAACACCCTTGATAAGAAATAATGACCAAATGTCAATCTGTTTTTCACTATCCTTCCTACAGACTTCTCCTGCCACATAAAAAAGCAATGTTTTACCCATTATAGTAATAGCACATTCTGATATTTCCGTAAAAATTCTGGCCATGTTTTCAAGAACAACAAAAAAATAGTTCTAAATGCAATCTGGGCTCAAAAATTGATGGATTCATTTTTTTACTCTTTAATGAAGTATTTAGTTCTCTGTTACAAAACTAACAAACTTCATGATGTAAGTAAATAGAGAGTTATCGTTACCATTTTTAAGTTTTATCATTACCATTTTTAAGTTTTATCATTCACTCAGACAACATTTGTAGGAACTCAGTGAGTTTGACATTGTGCTAGACATTAAGATACAAACATATTATTCCTGTGAGTCACTTTAAAGGATCTAGATTTAATCCTAAAGGCAACTGAGAGTAAACAAAAGAATTTAAGCATGATCAGATTTGATCCTTAGGAATATTAATTTAGCTAGTCTCATATCTCTCATACTCCTCTTTTCTTTTTCTTCATTGCACCAGTTACAATTCATAAATCATAAATAAATGCATACCCATCTTCCCAACGAACTATTTATCCATTAAATCAGGGATTTTGTCAACTCTGTTCATGATTACATACCCAGAGTCAAATACAATGTCCAATATAGAAGCCATTTGTCATTATTTGAAAGAGCAAATGAATAAACGAATACATTGGATGAAGTAGGTTGAGACTATATTTTAAAAGATCAGTTAGAAGACTTGTAGTTTATAGACAGTTCATGGGAAACTAAGCCAAGTTAGTGAAATTGTGACAAGATGATGTCACAATATATTTAATGTAGATGCTATAGAAAATTAAAAATGTCTACCGTAACTTAGAGACTTCTAATTTGGCAAGTGAATGTTGATACTCTCAATTAAAAAAGGAATATTAAAGAGTAACTGACCACTCAGTTATGCCCTAATGAAATATTTCTAAAATTGTAGGGATTGTAGAACATGCATAGAGTGCAAATGATATAATATATATCATTGTAGAAGATGCATAGAGTGCAAATGATATAATATATATCCCATAAAAGGTGCTTATTATATTAAAGATCCTATATCACACTGATTATCAACAAGTAATCCTTCTCCCTTTGTCCTCTCTCACTTCCAGCCTCTTCATCAAAGGAAATTATTTTTAACTTAAAAGGATAATATATAGGTTCACTAATGCATTCTGTCTTATCATTTTCTTTTCCTGAAAAGGATTATTATATCAAAACATTTGGGGAATATCACAATATTCTAGAGCTAAGAAACATACTTGGTTTCACAAACAGTGCTCACTTCCCCTACATCCATCTTTACTGGTCATTCCACTGCTCAAAAACCTCAATGCTTCCCCACACTGACTTTCAAATCACATTCAGATTACTAGCTTTGCAGTACCAGCCTCTGAAATTTGAACCTCACCTGCCTTCATAATTCATCTCACATACATGACCAATGTCACACTCAGATCCAGTTTTAGGGTTTTTTCCTAACATAAGAAAATTAATCTCATTACACTGCATTCATGCTTTTTGTCTTTGTCTAAGAATAGTTTGATTGCCTTTTCACCCAACCTGCTTCTAAAGGGTCTTTGCCCTTTTAAAAATGGAAATTATCCCCCTCAAAAGGAAAATGTTTCCATTACTGAAAACATTTCTGTGATGGTCAATTTCATGTGTGAACTTGACCCAAATAATTAACAACAAAATAATAAAAAAAAATAAATAGGAGCTAAAAGAAATTCTAAAAAAGAGGTTCTATAGATAATGTAAGGATCGCGTCCTTAACACAGGTGTCTGTATTTCCAAGGTGACCGTTTTGAAGGGACTCAGACGCAGATGTAGTGGTTTTGTTTACAGCTGCTAAAAACTTGGCTTCTTTTCTGTGGAGCCTCCAATTAGATTCTTAAAATCATTTTCTGTTCCACAATATTGATGACTGGCTGTAGCTCTGTCAGCCTTCTTTTTCCTTTTCCAATTGATCTTTACATTATTTAAGGAGTTTTTCAAAGAGTTAAAACACAAATAACAACATCAATATAGTAAGTAAAAGATTTAAATGTGTTCAATCTCCCCTACAAGCAACAAAATTAGAATGGAGCAAAAATTTTTATTATGATTCTTAATGGAATTTTTCATTCACAAAATAACAAATTAGTGGGTTATTTTTTTAAAGATTTATTTATCCATACAAGAACTGGGGCACAGGCCAGAGGTGTGATGGGTGAGGGGATTCACCAGAGACAGAGTGGGGAACAGAACAGGCAGACTGAAGTACACTGCTGAGGGGAGCAGCGGGCAAGACAGGAGAGGTCTGCTGTGCCATGCGGGTCACCTCCCTGGCTGGGGTTTGAACTCGTGCTGCAGTGGCTGTGGATAGTTTCTTAGACTATGTCTTAACCCCTTGTGTCACCAGGGAGGCCCCCAAATCAGTGGTTTTTAACTCTGATGTCATTGCTAAATTTATTTCCCAGATTTAATTGTCTTATTACCTATTCCTGTGAAATGGATGGGTGGGGGCAATGTAGAGACTTCTGACTTCTGATATCTGCTCAAATACTTAGACTGGCTCAAGAAAACTCTGATGATACTTCCCAAGTCCTACCAATGCTGGGCTGATACTATAGTTTTCACTGATAACAAGGAAGGCTCTGACCTACTCAGGACAATGGGACAAAACAAAAAACAAAGGGCACATTCGAAAGAATTTTCTCTGCCTATTCCCTGTCCTTGGCACACAGTCCTCTTCTGTTCTGGACTACCACTTCTTTCCCATAAAGACACTCAACCACTTTCTCCAAAGTTCAGAACATATTTTGTGGGCTGGGGAAGCTATACCATAGGTTCTACTTCCAAATTTATCTGCAATATATATTTTACTGCTTGCAGTGAAATAGGCAAAGATCAATTAGATAGTTAGCCTACATTTATTCTGGTCAGAGATTTGAATGGGCATAAGACAAAATTGTGACTCCAGGTATAGAGTAAGGATTGAGGACTTATGACATGTTTGTTGGCCAGGGTGAAACAGTCATCCTGTCGTGGTGCCCAACTTCCACAGCTAGAGCTATCTTACTTTAGCTAGAACATTAAGCCCCCATTAAAATGCGCTGACCCAAGGAGGGGCAGCACTTGCTCCTTTAGCAAATACTTACTGAACACCTACTATGTTCTAAACGGTGTTCTAGGTGCTTGGGTCCTATCGGTGAACAAAACAAAGATCACTGCTTACATTCTAGAAGGATAATAGAAGAACAGACAATAAACATAATAAACTTCACAGCTTGAAAGTGATCAATACTGTGGGGGCCAGGGGAGAATAAGCAGGACAGGAAAATGTTCATGAAACAGGAAAGATGAAGAACACTCCCAGGGGAAAACGGTATAAACAAAGGCCTGGAGGTTTAAGGGGAACAGGATAACCAGCGAAGTGAACAGAGTAGCATGCGACAGGAGTTCAGAGGAATAGAAAAGCCAGCGATGCCAGTGCCTGCAGCAGGCACCTCTCAACTCACCCACCTGCACGAGGCACCCAGCAACCTGCGTCCCCTGACGCTCTTCCTGGAGCCCAGGAGAGTTTGCCGTTCGTACTTATCCCCATGGACACAAGTCTGATGCCTGGGAAAGAGAAGTGTAAGTGAAAGCAGTAGGGGAAAAAAGGTTTTCTTTAATTTTATTTAAAATTCTCTAAGATATTGAGCTAAAAAGACCTAAGACCCTATTCAGTAACAACAACAACAAAAAAAATTGCTCATGCACCTAATCCATGGCGTAGGCTGGTGCTACAGATCTGGTAATGTATAAGATAGATCTGCCCATGCCCATACATTAAAGCACAGCACATAGGGAAGCAAGCCCCACAACTCTGCCTGGGGTCCAGCTTACCTGGCATGTTGAAGGGTAATAGTGGGACCCTACATGGTGCCCAGGGAATCAGCTGGTGGAAGACAACCCAGCCCAGCACTAGAAACAGAAATGAGAAGCTTCTGTGACACTTGCTTCAGATGCAGTGGAGAATGGATGAGGCAGAAATGCAGCATGACAGGGTTTGGAAAAGACTAGAATTAGTCTTAGAGCAATAGTGAGTTAGGTCAAAAACTAGAGGAATATTTTATATTTGTGAATGTGGCTTCATTTCCCACCTTTATCCCAGGTCAGCTTGACTTGAGGAAACAGCCCATATCAGCAACAAGGACTGTGGATTCTGTTTACCACCGCTACAACTCAAATAGCCAATATATTTCAAATGTACTATGGTGATGGACCTGATTTCTTTTTTAAAAAAATACAAACCATAGTCTTCAGGACAGAGTTAGCCCTCAGGCTAAAAATTCCAATTGCAAGTCTAACCCCAAGCCTTCCATCGAAAGAAACAGACCATCACCACTAAGTAAGTTCCTAACTCTTTCTTTTTTTTTTTTTTTTTTTTTTTTTTTTTTTTTTAAATTTTTTTAATAGAGGCATGCTTTATTTATTTGTTTGCTGGTTTGTTTGTTTGTTTGTTTTGTTTATACATGCACTGGGTACAGTCAGAAACATGGGAGGGTGAGAGAATTCACCAGAGCCAGAGCGGGGAGCAGAGCAGGCAGAAGGACCGAAGTACACTGCTGAGGGGAGCAGCGGGCGGCAGGAAAGGTCTGCGCACCATGTGGGACCCTCCTCCGGTGGCCGGGGAGCAGCCGGGGATCGAACCGGCGACGCAGAGGCCGCGCGCAGTTTTGCAACCCAGCGCTCAACCGCTGCGCCACCGGGGAGGCCCAAGTTCCTAACTCTTTCTATTAAAAGAAGTTGATATATTCAGCTGGGGACATGCTCTCTCAAAGTAAATCTTCAGATCTATATGCTATACCCAGAGGCAGCAACTTAGGAAACAAATCATCTCTAACTTTTAAAAAAGGGGTTATGATTTTGTTAATAAAAAAGATACAGAGTGAGGGGGAACCTTCTGGGGACTCAAGCACCTTTGAAAAGTGGGACTCTGCTGCCCCCTGCCTTCCACTATAGAAACTGCTCAGGATAAAACTGAAAATCACTATAAATCATTGAAGGACAGTATTGCTCACACATATATATGCAGCATACCCCAAAATCTAGGGGCTCCAAAAACATCCTTTATCACCTCAACCCTACTGACCCTGGACACTGGTGACTACATGCAGTGTAAGCACTGTGTGGCTCCCGTGGCGGCAGCGCACTAAGAATACCATGGTGCTGGCTTCCAGAATCTGCCCCTGCCTGTGTCCTTGTGGGAATAAGCCTGACTCCAGTCATCACCCCCACCCTGATGGAATCTCCAGCCCTCACCATCCGCACTTGACTTACACCTGGATCTCGCACCCGCCTTTCAACTCTAAATGACCAAAACCAAACTCATCATTTCCCCTCAAAAACCAGCTATTATGAGGGTTTGCTCCCATGAACTTGATTCCTTTTCATAGCTCTCCAGTCACTCAAGTTAAATAAATCTTTATAACAGCTTCCATTTTCTTTCCTCTTATAGGCCCCCTGAACCAAATGAACTAATTGCAGGCATCGCCTTCTTCTATGAACATCTTTCAAACCTATTGCCTCCTCTCTCATTACCCTGGGTGGAGCACCCCTGGGCCCAGGCTCTTTCTATCTGGAACGTTATACCGGCCTTCTAGTAGCAGGCTACAGCTACATATATATGTGTTCCAGTTTTCCTTTGCTCCAGTACATCTTACTACTGCTGACAGATTTATCTTCCTGAAGTACCTCTCTTGCTCAGCTCTCCCACTGTCCACCTCTCACCTCAGAATAAAATCCAAAGCCTTTATGCTGGCATTCAAGACCCTCCATGACCTGCCGCCCACCAGTAAGTAAGTGCCCTTCACTGTAGCCTGGGGAAGCGCACGTTGTTCCCGAGAGATGGTCTGCGATTTTCTTCCGTGCCATGTTTCTTGCTTGATTGCTCTTGATTACTCTTCCACCAGCACCTCCACTAACCCCAGTTCCTTATGTCCAAATAATTTGCATCTTCAAGTCCTAGGTCAAATATCCTTCTTCTACAAAACTTTCCCTAATTCCTTCAACTGGAACAATCTGTGTCTGAAGACCAAGCACATTCTTTTTGTTCCTTTCTTCAGTTCAAATGAGCAAATATTTACCAAGTTCCTACTGTTTATAAGAATATAATTTGGTCTGTGCACCCTGGGGCAAACAAAAACAGCACCTCTCTCCTTGTGTAATCCAATGTAATCACTTTCCAATTCACATTCTCTTTCTGTGCATATCTGACTTGCCATTCAGACTGAAATTTTCATAAGTATCAATGTTTCAATATTTCATTCCCTTTTCATGTCTCTCTCATACATAGTGCCTAGCAGATGCACTGCATGTGTTTATTATTCAATAAGCATTTGAATAAATTGATAAAAATATTACTAAACAGTTAAACTTCAGAGGCATTACTCACTTCCCAAATTCAAGTAACTTACTCTAAGTTTTAGACTCTAACAAATTCTATGGATTCCCTGATTCAAAAATAAATTCTTCACCATTTAAACTGTCCTTATAGCTTGTAATAGTTAAGTGCACAAGCTTTTGAATCTGCTAGAATGAGGTGTGAACTCCAACTCTGCTGTACTTACCAGCTGAGTTGACTGCAGTGACTAGGGCCCAAGGGAATCTTTTAGCCCCATGGAGCCCTTATTACCCTATGTGGGTTTGGGTGAAGATTAAATGACATCACAAATAGAAGGTATCTAACACAATCCTTGGAATTCCAACATTCCATAAATTGAGATGATTGTAATTTATCACAGTTATTATCCTCTGAATCATCACATATAAATATCATCCCCCAGAACATGTTGGAAAACTGACTCAACTATCTTTGCAAACCCGTCTTCCTGGCCATCTTCCACCACAGACAACTAGACATGGCCAAGTGACCAGTCTGGCCAGAGACATAAGCAGAACTCTGCCAGAGCATTTCCAGCAAAATCATTGCTTTCCCAGTAACAGAGACCAGTATGTCTGGGGCTGCCTTCTCCATCATCCCTTCTTCCTGCCTTCAATGTAGATACCTTACATGGACCTGCAACAGTGTCTTGAGCCCATGAGAGAAAGTTCAAATGAGTCCACATGCCAACCCAGACAACCCAAGCTGCTGAACCAATATCAGTAGTTAGGGTTCCAGATCTGTTCTAGGAGAGAAGCAAACCTTATTTATTTAAGCCAGTGTAAATCAGCTTTTGTACACTACAGCCAAACAATTAAAACTGATTCAACCTTCTAAAGTAGTTTAGGATATATGTAAAGAAATTATAAAAAGACAAATTAATATTAGCTCTGTCCTTCAAAGACTCTTCAATGCCTAAAAGTCAAATATTTTATCAAAACTTTGTATAGAAGGGTCTACCTCAAAGTCTAAGAAGGATTCAAATTAAACTAAGAATCATCCTAAAACTAATCATGGGGCAGGGGGAGCTAGAAGAATCCATCAAGAAAATCTTAATTTTTTTTTTTTTTTTTTTTTGTGGGACCCTCGCCGGCAGCCGGGAAACGAACTGGCACTGCAGAGGTTGCAGGCAGCCTCGCAGCCCAATACTCAACTGCTGTGCCACCAGGGGAGGCCCCTCTTTTTTTTTAAAGATTTATTTATGCATACAAGAGCTGGGGTACAGTCCGGAGGCGTGGGGGGTGAGAGGATTCACCAGAGACAGAGCGGGGAACAGAACAGGAGGATTGACTGAAATACGCTGCAGAGGGGAGCAGCAGGCAAGACAGGAGAGGTCTTCTGCACCATGTGGGCTGCTCCCTGGCCTGCGGGGGGCTCGAACTCGTGCTACTGTGGCTGCGGATTGCTTCATAGGTTGCGTTTTAACCCCTTGTGCCACCAGGAAGGCCCTAGAAAAACTTAATTTTCAAGGAATATTTCAGAATGATTACCATTTAGCTATATCTCCTACTCCACTCTCTACTGGTCCTGTATCTAAATAGCCATGGATAAAAACTGAGAGTTCAGGGTAACCATCTGGATTACCAGTGAGAAAATAAACAAGCCCTTTCACCTTTCACGGCAGATTTATTTCCCTGCCTGTTGACTTTGGACTTGACCATGTCTTGCTTCAATCAGTACGTTTAGGAATATAACAAAAGCAGAAGCTTGAGCTACACCGGCAAGATCGGGCTTGACTTTTTGCACATCTGCTTTTCACTGTGAACATGATTCAGGTAGCCACTGAGCCAAGGAGAATGAGAGATCCTGGGAACAGAGCTGGGTCACATCTGGAACTGGAAGCCAAACCTTGCTGAGCCAAACCATTATCAGTTTGATTCCAGTCAAACTCAGACATGTGAGAAAAAATAAGCACATGTGAGAAAAAATGAGTTATATGGCAGCATTTGGGGTAATTATATAATATTTATTTCCCTATTTTGGGATCTAAAGTGTTTCTCAACCAGGGACAATTTTGCCCCCAAGCAGATATTTGGACATGTTCTACTCATCTTAAGTTGGGGGTAGGGGTGTTACTCTATCTAGACAGCAGAGGCAGGAATGCTGACAAACAGCCCACAGTGCCAGGACAGCCCCCACCACAAGGAATTAACTCTGGTCCAAAAGTTAAGATCCTGAAGTTGAGTAACCCTGTCCTAACACAATCCAGTACAGACAAGAATGACATGTTCTTTCCCATTTTGCCTCAGCCCTCTGCTCCAACACGGGGACTCCTATGTGTCTGTGGCAGCAGTGACGGATGTCAATACATATTTACCAAGTACCCACCACCATTCTAGGTGTCAAGGATCCAGGGCTGAATTAAAAGAAAAAATTCCTGGTCTCATGTGACTTTCACCCACAGAAAAGTGATAAATGAATTTAGTGTCTTTAAATAGTGTTGAGTTTATAAAAGGTTTATGGGACAGAGCATGACAAAGTGGATAATCTCTGAGGAAGCTGCAGTTAACCTAGCTGAATGAGAAGCGGCCATGCAGAGGGTTGGGAAAAGAGCATTCTGGATAGAGAAAACAGTGAACCCATGGCCATGAGATGGAAGGAAGCGAGAGGTAACAGAGGAGCCGAGAAAAAGGCCAGTGTGCCAGTGGGTAATGAGTCAGGTGTGAGATGGGTCAGAAAGACATTTGAGGATGACACAGGGCATTGCTGGCCTGCTAGCAGCAGTAGCTTTGAATGAAATTCTGGAGACATCACACTGAAGGAGACCTCAGTGTTTGGTAGTGACAACGTGCAATGTAAGCAAATCCTTGTGCATATGTGGGACAACCCCTGGTAAGTATGGAGGCTGGAGTGGGGGTGTAGGAACTTTACAAGGAAACCAGAGAGAGTACGTTAGTGAGAGCAGGATTTTGAACTATTTTTCCTCCTCTATCCCATCAGTACCCACAGACAGCTGATTGATCCTAAAGAAACTTAGGGGCATGTTTATAACCAGAACAGAAAGTTATTCAACGCGATTTTTTCCACACAAAATCCTGTGCTTTCGTGTAATACTGCCTCTCTTGGTTCCTGGCAGGCCATTTCTTGAGAAGAAACAAGTTCAAGAACATAGCCTCCTCATTACTTTCTAATGAGAAGCCCAGCACTGTTCACACCAAATTTCCTCTTCTGGTGTTTTGGAGCGTGAAAAAAGCTAGAAAAAATTAGTTAGGATTTCTGAAGCAAAAGGGAAACCCCTAATATCTACAGACCGTGTTTTCTACAAGCTACACAGTACGTTAAAGGTGACTTTTGGGCCCTACATAATTTTGATTTATTGGGAAACCAATGTTGTCAGACAGACCTGAGTAAGTAGGTCATTTCCGAATTCTAATTGACTGTTGATCATCTGTTTAAGATTCCTGAGGATACAGATTGTGGCTGTTTTGCTCATAACTATCCTTAGCTCCTTGCAATAGTGTCTAGCACATAGTAAACACTTAGTATACATTAGATAAATAATGCTACACAAAAAATAAAGTCTCACAGTCTTATAAAAATTAAAGAGAAAACAAAGCAAATAAAATAGCTTGACGCATTTATTTTTAAAAGACCTGTAGTTAAAAAATAATAAAAAGGCCTGTATAATCATTGATACTTACTTCCAAGAGAAAGAAAACTATAACAGTCACTCATCCAACCAGTACAATTTTTGAGCATCTACCATGTGCCATGCATTGTACTTAATAAGGCTGGAGATAGAAACAGATGAGATGTGCAACTCTTCTCTAGTGCATACAAGAGAAAAACCTTTATAGTCTGGTTTACTGCTAATTGGAAGGAGAAAAGTCAGGAAAGCCCAGGAATGCCTCCTACAAGGTGGCATCTGAACTGACTCTTTGGTTTTGTGAAGTAAATCCCAGAGTCTTTAAGGGAACATACAGAGCTCAAATTCTATACCCAACTGCTCTTACTCTATCTAGTCCATTGGTACTCAACCAGGAGCGATTGTGCATCCCAGGGATATTTGCTAATGTCTGGATACAGTTTACATTGCCACAACTGGGATCAATTAAGTAGGGGTCAGCTGTGCTACTAAACATCCTTTAATGCATGGGACAGTCTCCCACAACATGAAATTATGCAGCCTAAGATATCACTTGGTGCCAAGATTGAATAGCTACAATCTATGAGAGAAGAATTAGTAAGGACCATGCAAATAAAAACACAAATACACCATTTCGTCAAGATTCTTCTAAGGCAGGGGCCTCCCTGGTGGCACAGGCGGTTGAGTGTCGCACTATGAAGCTGTCCGTAGCATCTGCAGTGTGGGTTTGATCCTGACCGGCCGGCAAGAATCCCACATGGCGAAGCCGACCTCTCCTGTCTCGCCCGCTGCTCCCCTCAGCAGTGTATTTCATCAGTCTGCCTGTTCTGTTCCCCACTCTGTCTCTGGTGAATCCTCTCACCCTCCCGCACCCTTGGCCCGTACCCCCATTCTTATATAAAAACAATAATAATAAAAAGATTCTTCTAAGGCAATTAATATGATGAGAACCATTTAATTGGCTGCCTCTATTTTAAGGAAATAAAGTACAAATAATAAAATAATCGATTAAATTTTGTGGATGACTGTGACTAAAGTACTTAATCTCATGATGTGTACAATTCAAATATTTATATTCATCAGTCATTTCCTAGCATTTCAGGTAAAACCCAGAATCTCAGGAAAACATTGCTTGATTAGAATTCCAAATTGAAGAATGTCATAAATAGAAACTGTATATTCTTTTTATACCATTCAGCTTCTGGGATGGAGAAGACTTTTAGCCCATTCCTTTTGAGTTTAAAATTACATTACATAGATAGTCATATGTTCAGCATCCTTTAGCTGGATATTTGTTCCCTGTAGGAAGTTTATAACTTATAAAAGGAGTTTTATGCAGAATACAAATTGGGAGCATTACATGAGTACCTCTTGAGGACACTGAGTTGTGCAAGCAACATCACTTTATCTGACGTAGTGGCTTTGGATTGGTTTATCTGTTCACCCTAGGGCTGTTTGGAATTACAGATCAGGGACATCACTGTCATGCCCCAGCTGCTGCAGAAAGCTACTGGAAGAAAAGAAGATTTATGAGTATTTTGGTTATACTGAACCAAGGATCCAGGAGTTATACAGCAGGGAGCCTGGTGGCTCTAAATTGTAGGCATTATGCAAAGAGAAAATGCAGAGTTGGGTGTCAAGGGAGCCTTCCAGGAGCAATAGGACATCTTTGTAAAATCTCCAAAGAATAAATTTAACAGTTATTAAAGAACACCACCCTGTTGTTGCAGACACTGAACTTTATGTCACAAGAAGAGATTCGAGGGATTTCAGGAAAACATCTGTCATTTAACAGTGATAGTGACCTCAGCACTGACAAGCAATTCAAATCCCCATTGAGGAGAGTTGCTTAACTCTTTGTGCATGGCTGAGTTTGGAGCTGTAACATCAATTATCCTTGAATTGAGGAGTCCTGGTGCTGATGGGAAAAGTTATTTGGAGTAAATATGATTAACTGGTACACAAGCCATTCAAGAGTTAGTTCCCTTCTATTATTTAAAATTATATGGTCATGGTTTGTTAATTTTGACCAAAATACGAGGAAAATGGATAAATGTAATCTTCAAAACAATTATAAAGATCAAAATTAGGTTAAAATGAGTTGGCAAAAAAATAAATTTCTGTATTAATTTCATATTAGGATTTAGTAATTTATTATTTCTAATTTAAATAAATTAGCTATCATATATAGGTAACGGTAGGAAACCAAAAATTTTAATGTTGACAATCAACTAAGCCCCCAAATTGTGTAGAAATACTCATTTAATCTTCATAACAACATGCAAAGAAGATAACATTATCTTCATTTCAGATAAGAAAACTGAGACTTTTCTCAGTTTAAATGTTTTCCCCAAGATGGACAGAACAAGAAAATGGTACAGCTGGGGTAAGGGATAGGAAGATCTGTTGAATTCCAAGACCAATCAGCTATGTTACACTATGTTACCATGAGAAATGACATTTTTGTGTCAAACTCTGGAATATTAAAACTCATCAATTGAAACAGAAAACACTAATACTGTAAGCTGATCATGAACTCCCTCAAGCTCCATGCCCAACTACTCAATTGCTTACTTGACATCATTTTCCTCACCTAAAGCTGCTCCTCTTCCTGTTTCTCCTACCTCAAGAATGTCAACATCTACCTAATAGCATAGAAACATGGACAAGAAAATACACAAAAACTATTAATGCTATTATTGCACAAAAACTATTAATAATGCTATTATCAGGTAGTTGGATTGATTCTAGGTGTTTCTTTAAAATTATGTTCATTATACTTCTCGGTATTTCCCAGATTTTTTTAAGCATTTACATTATAAACATGACCATTATATTCTTATTGACTAAAAAACAGAAGTTAAAAATAAATTTACTTCCACAATATAACTTCCCTTCTCACATGGAAACATTCTTTGGGTATACTTCTAGATTTTTTCCTACGTAAAAGCTATTTTGTTTTTATGCGTTTTTATGCAAATATGTAATTTGGAATTTTTTTCCTAAGCAAAACTGTATGACATATAGTGTAACTTTTTTTTTCTTTTAATATCTTGACTTTCCATATCAAAACATACAGATCTTAATGCCTCTATAGTATTCAATTATAATAGCTATACCATAATTTATTTCCATTATTGTTGAATATTTAGATCGTTTCCAATTTCCACTACCAATAATGGTAGGAAGACTTTTTTTTTTCCTAAATACTCTGCATCTGCAATTCTTAGGCACCCGTTTTTTTGCCACATTTATCATCTCTGGGGTGGGTTGCATCTCACAATTAATGGCATCCTACCACCACTATCAGCCAGAAAATATTCATTATATAAAAACCTTTTTTTTAACACCTTCTGAAATAGTAAAATAAAGTGTTTTTTAAAAAAGCATTAAGCCTTTATATATTTTAATCAAATGACATGTTACCGTTAGTGTTGCACTGATGTGCTTTCAAGCATTTCTAATTTCAGGCAAATGAGAGTTGTAAGTGGAAAACCTGGGTCAAAATAGTATGTGGACTTTAAGTTTTTGCTAGTTACTTCCAAACTGCCCTCCAAATAAGGTAAAACAACTCACTTGGCCAACCATCTGGGAGAGGACCTGTTTTCCTCACCAAAAATACCATAAAACTTTTGATTACTTATCAACATAATCATACAAATTGAAGCTATTAATTGATTTAGTCTCTAATCTCACACATACTGTGCTTTTTAAATCTTCCCCTTCCTTACTTCTCTTTCAATTTTATTTAGGGTGCCTTTCATCCTGTAGTTTATGCACCCAATTTGTTAAATTTTTTCCTTATTTTCTGGAGTTTATTATATCCTGCAGAGAAAAACCTCCACACCAAAATTATTCAAGAAGATGGTCTCTAATCCACTTGAATATTTGTGTATAGTGTAACATAAGAATCTGCCTTCCCCAGTGTGACTAGCCTGTCTCCAAAACATAAACCGGCTTATCTTTTACCTGAACCAAACTGTTATTTTTATAACATACTATTTATCTAGGTATTATGTAAGAACGTTCCTTTAATGTTTCATTGATCTAAACTTAATGTGTTACTGTGGTTTGGTTGCATGTTGCTAGTAAGAAAACATAAGCCAAATTTTCCCCATTGTTCTGTTTTGTAGGGTTTTCTTACTTATTTTGCAAATCAATTTCTGAATTAGCTTAAATAGCTCACATACTACAGTAGTACTTGAATATCCATTTCCCCCTTTTGCTGTAATAGAACCCTGCCACTCAGACAGAAACATGGCCATACACGACTAATACAATTCACACAGCCTTCTTGGTAGTTGTGTGTTCATATTGTTTTAAGCAATGGGATTATACAGAAATGTAGGTGCAATTCTGGGAACTGCTCTTCAAGTGAAGGTGTGACTTTCTTCTCTTCTCCCTCACCACTTACTGGAATAGTTTGGATGACTGAAGATTAGTGGTTCTATAGATGACAGAACATTGTATCAGGTGTACCAGTCTCTGATAGCTGGAAGCTCACCATTCCTGCATTGCTCACCTGAAGTTTTATGAGAGGAAGATACTTAAATCTTGCTTTAGCACTGTTATTTTTAACTTTCTCTCACAGCCAATCCTAAGGGACAAAATCTCACTGGAATTGTAACTTAGTGAATTCTTTTAAAAATTGGTATGTAGGGCCTCCCTGGTGGCGCAGCGGTTGAGCGCTAGGTTGCGAAGCTGCCAGCAGCCTCTGCATTGCCGGTTCGATCCCCGGCCGCCAGGTGAGGGTCACACATGGCACGCAGACCTCTCCTGCTGCCCGCTGCTCCCCTCACCAGTGTACTTCATCAGTCTGCCTGCTCTGCTCTCCGCTCTGACTGGTGAATTCTCTCACCCTCCCGCGCTTCTGACTGTACTCAGTGCTTGTATAAATAAATCTTTAATAAAGAAAAAAATTTGATATGTGAATATTGAGTTTTTATAAACAAGAATGTTTATTTCTTCACAAATTTTACACCCTTCATTAAAATGTAGTTTCCCTCAGATGGATTTTATTCCTAGGTAGTAGAGTTCAGAATTTTAATGGCAAGTAGGATTAAAACTGTTTCCAATTGAATTCTACATTCAAGATATTTCCCCCTAACTTTAAAAACTATCTTCCAGCATCCTAAAGTACAGATGACAAGAATAAAATCAATCTTACCTTTTTCCCCTTATGGGCAAATTGTTTCTCATTAGACAATTTGAGATTTTTCTATTTCTCTTGAGATTACAGAAATTTAGTCAGGATCTTAAGTACATGTTTCCTTTTTCATTTTTGCTTAGTACTCGGGACGTTTGAAGTCAGATTTTTGTTTCCGCTACTTTTTTCTTCCATTTTGTTTCTAGTCTCAAATTCTGGAACTCCCATATGTACATTCATTCAAAAATATTCATTGAGCACTTACCATGTGTGCGACACTGTGATCCAGACCACCTATTCAATGTTGAATTTTCTCTCTGAATCCTACCAAGTTTGACCTTAAATGGATGTAATTCCACTGGATCTTTTCTCTTAATGTCCATCTACTTGACCATTTTTTTTTTAAATTCGAGGAATCCCTCAGCTCATAATTTCAGCTCAGTAGTTTTTATTCTCAACCGTGTTTGTTCAACTGGCCTGAAATAGATATTTTTGCTTTTAGCAACTTTTTATTTCTAAAATATTTTTCCAGTAGTTTGCATTTTATAAACTAGTACAATAAGCTCTGTAATTTCTTAAGATTATGATGTAATACTAAATCTGAGCATTAACTATAAAACCATTATCACTATTAATGACTAGTAAGACTAATTACTCTTTTTTGCTCTGCATTTTCCCCCAGAAATTATTTCTGCTTGCTAAATTTACTATATTCTACATTACTTTTCTTTTTTTGAAGATTTATTTATTTATACAAGTACCGGGGAACAGGCCAAATATGCGGGAGGGTGACAGGATTCACCAGAGACAGAGTGGGGAGCAGAACAGGCAGATGACAAAATATACTGCTGAGGGGAGCAGCGGGCGAGACAGGAGAGGTCTGCTGTGCCATGTGGGACCCTCGCCAGCTGGCCAGGATTGAACCGGCACTGCAGAGCCTGCAGACAGCTTCACAGCGCACTGCTCAACCACCTGAGTCACCAGGGAGGCCCTACGTTACTTTTCTTTAAATATTTATTGCTTCTCAGTTTTGTCTGTCTACATCGGTAAACAAAAACCTAGCAGTCAGCAAACTTATTCTGAAAAGAGCATTTTACATTTTAGGCTTTGAAAGCCACACATGGCTATCTGCCACATAATTCTTTTTTTCTACTTCCTTTAAAATGTAACATCTATTAAAAAAAATAGATGGTAGTTTGTCAACTACTATTCACTATTGTTACCTGGAGATTCTTGGTTTGAGTGAAATTCCCTGGCAGATTCTAATTGTAAGGAATTTAGCACTTTAATTGGCGAGGAAAGAGGGAGTATAGTCAGTAGGGAAAATGGGAAATAGAGTCACCAACCTCTTCTTTGTTGGCCTACGTTCTAAGTATGAGGAACCAGCATTCATTGTGGTAGCTAACCATGAACATCTAGGGTATTGCTACACTTCAATGGCACTTACATATGTTCTGGGAGTCTACAGTGTCTGAAGACTGTTTGGGCAAATAGCAAGCTGTTAGAGCTTTAGCTTGGAGGAATTCTACGGACCTTCATCTCTGAGCTAGTGCCTGACCTAACTATTCAGCCCTTTAAAATTGTACTTACCCACCCAGTCTCCTAGCTGCCTCTAAAAATGGAGGTGATTCCTTAATTTTCATCTGTATGTATCCTATTCTTAGGTCTCTTCGTTTCACCAAGATTTGGTTTCTTGTTTTGTAATTTCCAGAAATGCCTTACAGCATCCTTGTCATCTTTTTAATGTGGTTGTGATCTTTTATTACCATAATTTTATCATTCAGTATCTTCTGTAATCCCAATAGAACTTTAGAAGATAACATCTTGAATCAAGTATGACATTTTCATCTGGAACTCCCCAAAATCACTTTTTATATTCACCAAATTACTAAGATCCCTGTAGCAGCCCACCACACTCCATGCTGTTTCATATCTCCTGGTCACCAGACGGACTATCACTCATCATCATCACTATCTCACTTTATACCTAATATACGAAGTATTTTTTTTTTTAAACAAAAACAAAAGCTAGGGAAACTCCCTGGTGGTGCAAGGGGTTAAGATGCAACCTATGAAGCTATCTGCAGCCACTGCAGCATGAGTTCAATCCCCAGCCAGGGAGATACCCACATGGGGCAGCAGACCTCTCCTGTCTCACCCGCTGCTCCCCTCTGCAGTGTATTTCAGTCTGCCTGTTCTGTTTCCTACTCTGTCTCTGGTGAATCCTCTCACCCCCCCACACTCTGGCCTGTACCCCAGTTCTTAATAAATCTTAAAAAAAAAAATAGCTAGGGATATCAGAAGGGAAAAATGGGAAACAGCTAGTATGATCATTTCTTGGGAGGCCTCAAATAATGGTAGCATTGACTTAATTTATCACTATTAAGAATCTACCTTCCATCCTTGCAGACACCCTGATTTTGTAGGGATTCTGCTCTCAGGATAGACTATAATCACCATATGAAGTCAAATTACTAATTTATAATATGAAGTGTAACTGTCACATGCATCATTAAGACTTCTGCCAGCAAGAGTAAGGCACTTTTTATCCATCAGCAGATGTCAAACTATAACCAAAAATTTGCTGGTTATAAATCCCTCTGAATCATATACTTAAAAATGGCAAATCTTGGTAACATGATAAATTTTAAAAGAATTTTACATATACATAAGAAATATTTGTATTCAAAACAAACACAATGTTAAATGATGTCTGATAAGTTGATCTGATAGTATCTGTCTCAACAAAACAACAATCTTGCCAATGAAAACAGAATTCTCAAATAGATTTTAACATGCACCATCAACATTTGCTTTAGTTTTTTTTAATAGGTCCATGAATTTTGGTATATGAATTTCTATAATTTTTTGTTATTTTCACCTTAGTATTAAAGATTTTTTATATATTATGTAATCTCATATAAATTACAATAGATTTTATCTTATTACAAAATACAGATTTTATTACAAAATGGAATCTCTAGATGTCATAATATAGTTAGCTTACAGTTAAATATTGGCAACTCCAGGAACCACTCTGTCTCCTAGAGCAAGAATCATAAATTCAAATGTTTACGGGTCAGAAGTTAAGACAAAGTGTTAAGACTTAAGATATGAAAAAGAGTGGGAAAGGAAGCAAGGAACAAAACACATAAAGCCACAGGCGCCAAGAAAAAGGTGTCATATTGACTGGTATGGGAAGCCAATGAATAATTTCTAATAGGGGACTGACATATGAGAGATTTTGTTATGTGGGAAAACTATTCTTATTATTACTCCATGATGTGATTTTAAGAATGAGTATTCTAATGGAATAAAAAGAACCCAAATAAAAATAAAGCCCAGTTACCTGACTCTATAGGTCTGTTACAGGTCATTCCAATGCTTTCATAAAATATCTTGGAAAAATCCCCACACCTTACCTGTCTTTTAATTAAAGGGCAGAAGCTCTCAATTTGACGTAGGAGAGTTGCAGGCACTAAAAATTTGTTTGGGGGCCCAGTCAATATTCTCAAAATGCAATCACTACCCACTAAAATCAGAATCACCTGGTATCTATTAAAAATACATCATCTCCAAAGAATAGGACCTCGTAATTAAATCTAGGGTCAAGGTCCCAAACCCTCACTTACACAAAAATTTAATACTACCCTCATGTTTCCTCAGAAAATTCTCTTCTAACATTTAAGGTAATCAGAGGGATAAAGATTCATTCAGTCAAGGAGAGCGGACAGATACAAGTTAGAGAGAGTAAAGGTCCACTGAACACAAACTGGTCGGAAATAGAACAGTATGATAAAAAGGAGGAAAGCTACCAATACAGCAGGCCTGACTGTTATGAGGAATTTGGAATGTACAGGTACGAGGAAGCAGGAGATACTAGCACTGTTTTAACTACATTTTGAGAAGGTACTTCTATATGGAAAACTGAGTCTAACAGGATAAAAATCAAAAGCCCGATTAGTTAACAAGGTATTTCAACAGCCCAAAAAAGTGATGATGGTGATTTGAGCTGAGTCAGTAGCAGTGGAGGTGTAAGAGTGAGCATATAAATTTCTGAAGTAGAAACACATACATACTTTCCAGTAAAATAGAGGTAGGAGGTGATAAAAAAAGGAAAAATAGAGGATAGCCCCTAAGTATCTGGCTTAAAGAATTGTGTAGATTGTAAATAAATTTCTCTGATTATTAGAACTATGTAATTAGCTTTTTAATAAAGAAAACAAATGATGTTTGGGTAACAGAGGCTGAAAAGTTATTAAAGATCTCATATAACTCCTTATTACAAAAGTATTGAGAATATAAAACACTAAGATGACAGAAATTAATCTCCCTACAAACTAAACTGTCCATCTACAAATAATCCAATAAGATACATAAATTTGAATTTCTGAATCAAGCACAATAACAAAATACTTTATTAATACCTTGCAAATAAGCTAGTCTGAATAAATATTCTTACATGTTTCTCACAAAAGTTACTACTTAGATGTTCTTTCCTATGTCTCAATTCTAAAACATTTACTTGGAAGTTGTTACACAGGATTTTTGTTACACAGAATTCTTTCCAAAAGTTTCACATCTCAAAATTACCAAACACTCTTTTAAAAAACAAAAACACAATCCCCCCCCACACTTAATGCCAAAAGAACCCATTAATTCTAACCTAAAGCTATCTATTCTTTTACCTCAGCTCTTCCACAAATATTTTAAAATAAAAGAGAAACAAGAGAGTTGATCAAATCCTACTGCCCTTAAAATATGAACTCTTAAGCAAAGAGACTTTCTTAAGTCTTTTTAATCTTCATTTATTTTGTTTCAAATCCCAACAAGTGGATATAAATGCCTAGCAAATTCTCCCAACTAAAAGATAAGCAAACCTAGTCTACAACAATAAACCCTAATTGGCCAAAATAAACCAATTTTTAGAAGTTTTACTGCATGCAAAGAGAAAAATTATCTATAAAATTCCATACATACATCTACTTAATGCCTTAAAGTTACTTAATATTCCCATATTCATTTGATGTCTCGAAATTTCAAGAAGATAATTTCACTGAATGAGTCCCCTCTCTTGAAAGAGGCCAGAGTAAAGACTTGAAGAAATAATTGTTTTCAGTAACTCAGATGGTTATTTGAAAACAGATGATATATCTTCTCATCTTTTCTCTCTGAATAGGCAAGCACATGAGCCATTAAAAATTAAAAATGAAGAGTATTATGTGAGAAACTTTTTTTAAAAAAAGTGTTTCTTGGTTCTTCAACCAAAAATGGACATGACAAAAGAATACAACTATGAAAAATTATTTATATTCAAATGTATTTTCAAGAAGATTTCAAGTTGACAGAGGCACAGAGATAAGAAATGAAAAAACAAGTATAAACAGGTCAGGTTTGACTGACCTCTATTTGAAATGTTAAAAAAATATTTTAGTCAAACTTTTTAAAAATATGATAGAGATAATTTTTTAATTCAAGTCTTCTCAATTATCTTGAAATACTTGAGTTGAACTCATACATTAAGGCAAATCCTAATTTTAAATACTCATTTAATTGAGGAACTCTGATTTAAAATTGCTAATCCAGGGAGAAAGTTTTTGTACAAAACATTTTATTGCTACAAAGGGAAACATGGTCACAAAAAGCCTTTAAGCGTATCTCAACGCAAATTACTATTCAATGTCCAATGCAGTAAAAAAATACACAGTCAGCACAAAATACTTGCCCAATTTATCTCTTCTAGGGTAAGTATTCAAAACATTAATGCACACTTGAATATATACTCCCAAGAGCAGCATTTAAGTTTAAATGATTAGGATATACTAACAATACACACCTGTCATCCTTAACACCAATAAAGTAATAAAAATTAAGCCTAAAAATTATACAAACAATTTACTGAATCTAAGTTTGGTAGCTATAAAAACTAAACTAAAATAGCCTTACCTTCATTTTATTAAACAAATGCCAAACATTTAAAAATTATATAAAATAAAATTTAATATGTGGAATGCATGCAACATGGATGTTAACTCATTTTTATTAAACTATTGAAATTCTTACCCTTTTCCACATTAGGACAGAAATTTAAAGCTTCTTTTAAATCTAATACCTTATATTTAATTTTCTTCAGGTTGGTCAACAGAAGGACTGACAGTTTCCTCCTTTGTTTCTTCTTGCCCTACTTCCTCCACTTCCCCCCCTCCCTCTTCTCCACCTCCCACCGCTTTCTCTTCCTCCAGTGTGTCCCCACCAGCTGCTGTGCTGCCTCCTACTTCCTCTTCTCCTCCACCTTCCCCCACTTCTTCTACTTCCTCCACTTCCTCTGCTTCTCCTGCTTCCTCTTCTTCCTCCTCTTCTTCCTCCTCCTCTTCTTCAATGGGTTCATCAATCTTTTCTTCCTCCTCCTCATCTCCTTCTATTTGTTGATCTTGAGAATGATCCTGAATTTCAAAAGGATTCTCACCCTAAAAACATCGAGAAACAGCTCTTAAAATCAGCACATCCGTGTTTATAACACTGAAATGTCTTATTTTCTCTGTCATTAAAAATAAAAACTATTTGGATTTTTTTGATTTTTGAAAAATTCATTAAAATATTTGTTAAGTACCTATTTTATGCCAATGTGAATATAAAAATTATTTAAGCCATTACTTTATACATCAGAAGCTAAAATTCCTCAACATTTTAGCTTAATGCCTTCTTAACTGAATTTCTAAAATCACACATCTATACAAAGCTAAATATGTGGATTTTGGTGGAAACAAAGCATATGAAAAACAAAGATTAACGTTCACTTAAATATACCAGTATTCAATGTAGTACTCTGCAGAACGTTTAAAAACTCAAAAGAAAATCAGGTACTTTTAAAAAAATCAAATGAAAATCATGTACTTATTATATATCATGTCTTAGATTTAAAATCTACACAAATCTTTAATTCAATAAACAGTCACAGATACAATTTTATTTTACTATTTTAATTTATTTAAATACTTAAATTATGCATCTAAATTAAGTCTCATAAACTGGACCATGTCAAAAGTCCATATTAATGCATAAGAAATGAAAAGGTAGTGAATATTATTAATTAAGAAAGTCAAAGACTGGGGCCTCCCTGGTGGCATAAGGGTTTAGGCACAGCACTATGAAGCAATCCACAGCCTCTGCAGCACGAGCTCAATCCCCAGCTGGCCAGGAAGCTACCCACATGGTGCAGCAGACCTCGCCTGTCGTGCCCGCTGCTCCCCTCAGCAGTATATTTCAGTAGATCTGCCTGTTCTGTTACCTGCTCTGTCTCTGGTGAATCCTCTCTCACAAACACCCCCTGCCTCAACACCTCTGGCCTTACCCCAGTTCTTGTATGCATAAATAAACAAATCTTTTAAAAAAAAAAAAAAAAGAAAGAAAGTAAAAGACTGGTACTGCCCTTTAATCAGGTTAGGTATGTGCAGGATAAACTGACGTAACAAGAGAAGGAATACTAGTCAAGGAGCTAATCTAGTAGTCTAGGGAAGGAAAGTGTAAATGATGTAGTGACACCATTAACAGAACAGGTCAATTAGGATTGGGAAAAAGCAGCAGCAGATAACTAGAATTTAAGATAACTAAATGTCTAAATAAGCAGCTATAAATATGCCACTCAAAAAAGAGAGTTCAAAGTAAACATTAAGACTTGTGAATTACTTGTACTGAGCAATACCAAAGCCAGCAGATTAAATGGGAAAGAGCCAGGAGTGGGGCTATGGAAATAAGTGAGGGACTGAGATCAAAACCCTATGAAAATGGGGGTAGAGTTAGGGCAATAATACTCAATGAAGGAAGAAATCCAGGATAGCAAAAGTATCTGGCAAAACAAAGATTCAAGAGTAAGTGATAGATGAACAGTGTCAACCGATACAGGTAACAGTGGAAAAGAACTGAAAAAAAAAATCACTAATTATTAAAGCTAAATGAGAGTACTAGAAGGATTTGTTACACTACCTCCTTTAATTTTTGTATATTTAAAACAAACAAAATGTCTTAAAAAATTTGATATGAGGTCCTCCCTGGTGGCACAAGGGGTTACGTTTCAGCACTATGAAGCTATCGCCAGCCACTAAAGTGTGATCCCTGGCCAGGGAGCTGACCCACATGGTGCAGCAGACCTCTCTTGTCTCGCCCGCTGCTCCCCTCAGCAGTGTATTAATTAGTGGATCTGCCTGTTCTGTTCCCCACTCTGTCACTGGTGAATCCTCTCACCCTCCATACCTTTGGCCTACACCCCAGTTCTTATATGCATAAATAAATAAAATAAATCTTAAAAAAATTTTTATATGAAAATCTCAAAACAATTTCAAAAGCATAAGTGGAAGTTAGATAGCAGTGACTGCTCAAGATCAATCTTCACAATTTTCTCTAAAGATACAGCTGCAGTCCCATATTCTGAGATTTTAATTTAGTCAAGTACAGGAACTCTTGCTAAAAATACAAATTCCTGATTCAATTTCAGACCTCCTGAATCAAAATTTCCAGGGGAGAAGTCTGGCAATCTACACATTCATGAAGTATTTCAGGAGATATTATTTATCACAGATGTCTAGAAGTCTAATTCAGGTCTTTAGCGGCTTTGTTTTTAGGTTCAGAGTTGATTTTAATTACCTATCTCCTACTGAGAACTATTAAAGAGTGAATAATGTAAGGCAGCATAGAGCACAATGCAGAGAAAACCTCCCTTTTCAAGTATGTAGTAGCTAGAACAGGTAAAACAGGGAAACTTTTCCTAGGAAAAGTTAAGTGATTTTTAGTTTAAGGAACTCAGAAGCATATCTTGGGGAATAGAAAAATAATAAACACGAAAAATATCAGATGCTAATAAGGAAAATACACACATGAAGGGCAAAATGGAACATTTTCATTTTTTTATGGTGTAGGAATGATATATAAATCTAACACAGAAAGATGAAAACATAGAATTCACATTTAATGGAAGTGATGGGGACAGAGATGAAATCTGCACATATGAAGAATGGAGAATCTGAAATAATCTTTACAGGAAGCACACTACATTAGAAGTAAAATTACTGTGAATTTCAATAAAACCAGCAAATATTGCACTGATATAATTCCATTAAATTTTTAGTAAGACAGTTAATAAAGCTAACCACAGATGGTACAGTGCTGGGAAGTAGTAAATAGTAGCAGAACAATTAAGTAAGGAATTTTAAAATGGCAGCATTACATTGTTATAAGGGCTGACCATGAGCATCTAGGTCAAGTAGTGAAGACAGAACAAGTTGTGACAGTTGGAAAATTGGGAGAAATCGATAAACTGATGATCTTCATGGGATAAATATTTAAAAGGGTATATTTTGTCAGAGTACTTAGTAGTGAAACAATTTTAAGCCATAACTAAAGCTGACCATGAGAAGAGGATGTTCTAGGGAATGACAACAAGGAACAATGTAGACAAGAACTCTGAAAGGGGGGAAAAAAATCACTGAGTAATGTGCTTGAATTTTAACACATATATGAAGTTAAACATTCTTGTTCGATAGGCTTGGACATAAACTGAAATTATATTTCTAATGTGTTCCCAGGTAATGCCAATACTGTTGGCCCATGAATCTCATTTACAGAAATGAGGTTCTAGATTTTTCCTTAGTTCAGGTACTTTCTCCACAATATGCACATGAGCGAGATACATCATATATATATATATTCCATGCAGTGACTCTAAAATGCATCTCCAAAATACTACCTAGAAACTAGAATTTGTATTCCTTTCCCTTGACCATATACTTTTATTATCAATAGAAACCATCAACTTCTCAAAAGTTTATGAAATAGGAAGGATAAAAATCTTCTTTTTAAATAATTTAGCTATGGTGTGTTTATCTTTCTGATGCCCTATCTCCCAAAAAATTGGATTTCAATTAGAGCTGCATTCACTTTTAAAAGAATTGTCAAGAATGTAGTAAACAGTGACAAACAAATCAGATTAACAAATGATTAACAAATCAGAAAACATGCCTTGAGGAACCGAGATTTATTCAGCTTGTATGTGACTGGGTTGAGGGATTATTTAATGGCCATTTAATATATGTCAGGCTTCTGCACAGAGTACCTATTAATTACCTTAATAGCCAAAGTAAACAAAACTCCTCTTATCTATAAAAATTTAGTTAATATAATTCAGATGTAAATATGCAACAATAATAGCCCTCTTCAGCATAGGATAATTTCATAAATGAGGTATGACCTTACAAAACTAACTCAATCTCAAAAACTAAGCTCTAAAATTTTTTTTTATTAATCTCCTGATGAATAGCAAGTTCTTACTTATACAGTAAGTGTTCAAAATATATACAATACTTATGTAATAAGGATTCCTGCAATACATGGGCGAAAGTTGAGAAACAGTGTGACAGGTATACCTAATAGTTCATATCTGAGTTTCCTAACATTAGGGGTAAATCTCTTTCTCCTTGTCTCAGATTCCATTAGGAAGCTTTTCTGAAGCAATGTATCTGATGACTACCTATTTTTCCCCAACTTTTATTCAAGGAAGAGTGATGACTTATCTAATTAGTATGCCTAGAAAAAGGGCTGGGCATACACAACCCAATTCATTCTGGGACCCCTCTTTTGGGTCTTCTTAGCAACAAAAAGATATACCCTAATCTGTTCTGTTATGGGGTAAACTAGAAACCATCTAGTTGAACTGGTAACAGTTGGGCTGAGATAAGTCTCTGATTTAGAAGTGAAATATGAGGCCACAATAACTACATATCTAAGACATATCCTCCATGGCATCCTTTTATTTTAAATCAAGAGTAAAACTGGCATTATGACTTTCTATCAGATTGCTGGTATATTGCTCTAATAAGCCACAGATAGAAAATGGATGAAACAGTTTATTGTTCCCTCTCCCTACAAATCCCAACAATTAGGAAAAGTGTTTGACCTTTATTCAAAATATTAAGTAATATTCTTACTAATGTACTATTTAAACACCACAGTTACTGTTACCGATTATAATATTTAATATAACATAAAAAGCTTTTGCACTAAAACTAAAATCTTACCTTAATAAAACGTTCATATCGTGCCTTCACTATCGGATTATTTAAAATGCTTGTAGCAGTCAAGACACTCTCTCTTTTGATTTGTTCCTTGTAAGCCTATGAAAAACAGCACATGGAGATGTTGAAACCCATACCATAAAAAAATACTATATTATATGCTCAAATCCTTAATTTATTTTGTGGCATGTTAGGTTCTAAAAATTAACAGCTTCTATAACCACAATCTAAATCATCTATGGATTAAACCAATGAAGGGTCAATAAACTGATCAGCTTCAATGAAAAAAAATTCTGTCACCAGTATACCAACTAGTGTAAGTCTAGGTCCACAGGACAGTTGCTTTCTCTTCTTTTTACTCTTTCCCAGCCCCAACTACTTCACCAATTATTTTCATGCAATCAAAAAAAAAAAAAAAAATATTTTTCGTAATTCTAGCAGTTAGTTTTCCTTTGAGCTATAGTTATGACAAGACTGTATGATATTGGGCTGTCAAAAAAGTTACAATATATTTTTTGTTTTTTCAAACAAAAATGCATCATGACTTTTCTGACAACCCAATACAAAGGAGGTAATAATATAAAGTGTCTAGTTGCCAAAAAGGTATCAAGGAACTTATAAAAACAGAAGAAACTGGAAAGACATTTTTAAAAGATTATGTATGCTCGGAGTGGCTAAAAAAGTCTGTGTTAAATGAGGTTCATGTCAATATAAATAGGAAATTAAGACTCTCAAGCTAAGACTATTTAAAACTTAATCTGTGATATATGAATTTTTAAATTTTCTCTTCAAACAAGTTTCCCATATTTTCTTTATTTGAAATAAATGACTAAATAAAACCAACCAATAAAGCAGTAGAAATAAGAAAACAATAAATTTTTCAAGAATTTTTGATAAATTTACTCAAATATATAGCAATAGTAACTGGTAATCCTAATTTATTTCTCCCAGCCAACAGAAAAACCTGTTATAGCCAAATGTTTACCTTACTTTGTTCTAAAACACACAAGCACATATTTACACACTCATAAAATCATTTTGCATAAACTCTAAACAAGTTTATAATAAAAAGAATAGTTCAACAGCTGTGATTTCCTAGATGCGTACTGTGTGCCAGACACTATTTTAAGTATCTTTTGTTTTAATTGAATTAATTTTTAAACAGTTACAAAAGAGTAGAGTAATAACCCATCCCATTTTACAGATTAGAACACTGACAAAGAATAGCTAATTTACTTGCTTAACACATGTTAAGTACTGAGCCAGGATATATATCCAGAAAGTCTTGCTCCAGAATCCAGTCTTTTAAACACTATGCTAACCATACTTCTGAAAGTATCTTTATAGTTACCCATGCATGAGGTTAATAGGATGTACACAAGTAAGCTGAAGTGACACAATGGCCTTTAAAGGACAATAAAGGATTGGTGAATAATTCAATAACTTCATTAAGATAGACCAACAAAGTACCTGTTTCCCTTTGATGTGATCAGGAGATTTTAAATGCTGCTGAACTGAACTATGTAAAGCAGGGATATATACACTGCAAGCACTGCAGTGAACAGTCTCTACTTTCATCATGTGGTCATCTGCAGTAACACCTACAGAAGAAATCCGATTATTAATAAGAAAAGCAATGATTCAGGGCCTCCCCAATGGCGCAGCGGTTGAGCACTGGGTTGCCTGCAGCTTCTGCAGCACGGGTTCGATCCCCGGCTGCCAGCGAGGATCCCATATGGCGCGCAGACCTCTCCTGCCACGCCCGCTGCTCCCCTCAGCAGTGTACTTCGTCAGTCTGCCTGTTCTGCTCCCCGCTCTGGCTCTGGTGAATTCTCTCACCCTCCCGTGCTTCTGATTGTACCCAGTGCTTGTATAAATAAATAAATAAATCTTTAAAAAAAAAAAGAAAGAAAGAAAAGCAATGATTCAGATTCTTATATCTGACAAACCACGTTTACACTACTTCACTTTCATGATTATTTGTACCTTCTTCCCAAAAAAAGAAGTTTTGAGGTTTTTCTATAGTATTTATAAATCTGATAGTTAAATTTACATGGAAGACAGATTAAAATTACAAAATGTAATTGTATTAAATTTCTTGTTATATACAATCATATCTGAAGTCTCTAAGTTCATTCCCCAGAAATATAATATAGAAAAACATAAATGTTGATTCTGTAGTAAAGCAAAAATTTCCATGAGTATGAAAATGGGCAGATGGGGATTGGGGAAAGGTTGTCAAAACTGAACTCATAAGAAACATAGTATCTTGATTTCAAAACTTAAGATTCTGAAAATGGTGATTAATATTTTAATAGAGGTAAAGATACAAATATCTGCAAGGAAAAGGTTTAAGAAAAAATGATGCTTTCTGGGAATTACAAGTAATTCAGTATGGCTGGGTCACAAAATATAAAGAAAGGCAGAAGATGAGAACAATGAAAAAGAGTAAGGCATAGACCATGGAGAGTTTTGTATGCTGTGCCTAGGAACTGAACTGAATCCTGCAGAGGAGAGGCACGTCACTGAAAATTCGTGAAGTAATGAAATCATGTCGTAAAATTAGATCTAAGGAAGAGTCAAGAAAACTAGTTAGGAAAATGTAATGATAAAGGGAACAGATAAAGAGTTGAATACAGTTTAAAAAGGAGGTAAAAAACCAGACTTGGTAGATTAAAGTAAAATGTTTAGAATTAACTTCATACTCCTGGCTTTGAAGGTGGAGCACATTCCAACATAAATGAAGGAGAAGGAGATCTCTGTTGAGCCTTTGTTTTGTTGTGTTTACTTTATGGGGTGAGGATGCTCAAGGAGAGGATACGTTTTTGTGGATATGCGGTTCTATGTTCATATCATTCTAATAGGCCTCAACAGGTTATGTTATATAAAATTCATGCAAATTCAAATTATAAAAATATATGTAAAGTTCCTAAAATAATGTTTAAATTCTTACCTTCCATAATATCTTTTTCTATTATTTTTACAACTTCTGTTTGATTATTTGTCTGTTGCTTGCGAATAGATGTTTTCTTGAATTTATTAACCATACATTCCTAGAAAACAAAGTAAGAATGCAACACGTAGTATATTCTAGGCACCATGGTCAGCCCATGGAAGATATAGTATCTGTTATTTAACAATTATCTATTCACAAAGAGCTTATAATTTCATTGAAATGATTACCAAAATACTAGGAAACTGCAAAAAGTATTCACTTTTCAAGCTGTATTTTAGGGATACAGAAAAAAGAGAGATCACAGAGGGGTTGCCAAAGTCAAGAGGTCTTCTCAAGGGAAGAGGGTACTTAAGAACTAAATTACAGATAGCAACCAGTTAAGGGAGGGACATAATTATAAAGGGATACAGAAGAATGAACAGTGACTATATTTCTAACTTTCTAAGATGTTTGTCTCTCTTGCCCAAATTAATCATATATACAATTAGAGCAGTCCAGTTCTAGCTCCTTCCTTAAGCATTCCTGTGGTCCCAACTATCTTGCTATCTACAAACCCTTTCTGCACTATCATACTTGACCCTTCCACTTAACTGTGCCATTTATGTAGCTGTATGTTGTACTTCCAATTAGAGTAAGTTCTCACTAAATATCACTGGTAGGTTCTTGGAAACTGCTACTTAAAGTGAAATGACATATAAGGAAACCAATTTCACTACAGGCTTAATTGGCCTGCAGTCTGGTATGAGAGTTAAACCCGCAAGGTATATTTCTGGTCATAAAAACCACCAAGCTTCCAAAGAAAAGACTCCAAACACTTCTAATATTAAACAATAATTTGTATTCATTCCTTTTCAACCTGGTTATTTTTCAAGGTCAAGTGTGGCACAGCGTGTTCTGACAGCTCAGAGCATCAGATCAATGCAATCCTGGACATGACACCACTCCATCACAGAGTGCACTCACACTCACAAACGGACTGGGACAATGTAAGACATAAGACATGCCAATGAACATAATATATATATCTCTGGAATTGGAGGAAATCCAGAGAAAACACACACATAGGGAGAACATGTAATCTCCACAGAATGGTCCCAGCTAGGAATCTTTTTTCTCTTCCATGTTGTAAAGGAAAGGCTATTCAAGAATCAGTTGTTAGTTCATAAAAGACAGTGTTTGTGTCTTCAGTGCCTAACACAGGATGGAATGTTCAAGAAAAAATGCTAAACATCTAGATAACCACACACTGACAATACAAAAACACTAAACAGATATCAAGCTTTGGTGCTCTGAATTCAGACTGCCACTTACTGACACAGTCACAAAACTGCTCTAAAACATGATCTTTCACACTATAAGGAACTGCTCTGAGATCCAAATGAAATAATGAACCCAGCATAGCATCAGGTATACAGCAGACTCTCAAAGAATGATAGATGATTCTGAATCAATGAACAGCTGTTAAAGGAATTCTTTTTTCTGACACCTCCACCACAAGTTACTGTGAAAAACATAAAATGTTCTCTAAAAATATTCAAATTGTATTATAGGAGTCCACATCCAATTCTGGGCTAATTTTAAAACAACAGTAAATTCTGTGCTAATTTTAAGTAAACAGCAATTTAAGCTTTTAGACACACAAAATGGGTCAGAGATGGGGAATGATGAAAAAACAAAAGACTTTCAAGTACCAAATAAAGTGCTTCTCATTTCAAAAACAACTACTTACATGCAAAAACTCCATAACTACTTTGTCAAATTTGGTTTGTTTCTGAATGTGATCTAACGTTTCCTGATGAGAAGAACTTTCCAGATGCAGTTCAATATCTTTTTCTTCAAATGTTCGAAATTTACAAAATGAACATGTGAAAGCCATTCTGTAAGAAAAAAAGTTTTCTTTAAATATTACCTTAAGTGTTCATAAGACTACACCAATGAAACTAATTTTACCAGCATAAATGATCTGCCATTTTATGGTTGATTTTAAATTCAGTCTAAGTCAGAAAAAACAGTATTTTAGTACTGTTTTGGTCAATACTGTCATACACCACTTGACATTTCTGGCCCACCCTAGAGGCAGATGAGAGGTGGAATCAGTGGAATTTTTAAAATGCAATACTAAGCTACCCCCTTGAAGTTTAGTCCAATTAGAAAACCAAAGCAAACCCCAAGAAGCATCACTGTCTAAAATTCTAGTACTTATTTTAGTATCAAAAAAGTCAGGGGAACCCTAATTCAGTCCTTGGAGCTCTTGGGTGGTCAGAAGTCCTGTCCTCTAAAGATCATTTCAGGATGACTAATAAGCCTCAACTAGACAAACACACAGATTGAGAAACAGGATAAATTTCCCCATTCTTCTTCCATTTAATATGGATACCTAAAGTATTCTTGTTATTTTCTTTTCCTTGACATTAAGGAATTATGGAAACAGCTTCCTAACTGGTCTCTAGTCACCATTTTCCAACTAATTCCTTATACTGCCATTAGAGTTATTTTCCTAGTTAAGAATAATGGATCTAGAGCCAACTTCTAGATTTATATCCTATCCCTCTTGTGTGACAAAAATCAAGTTATTTGACTGCCTTGGGCCTTAGTTTTCTTATCTTAATAAAATAAAAACCCAGGTCTCCCTGGTGGCGCAAGGGGTTAAGCACAGCACTGTGAAGCAACCCCAGGCTCTGCAGCACAAGTTCAATCCCCAGCCAGCCAGGGAGCAGCCCACATGGCACAACAGACCTCTTCTGACTCTCCTGCTGCTCCCCTCAGCAGTGTATTTCACTCAATCTGCCTGTTCTGCCCCCCACTCTGTCTCTGGTGAATCCTCTCACCCCCCCCCATCTCTAGCCTGTACCCCAGCTCTTGTATGCATAAACAAATGAATCTTTAAAAATGAAATGAAATCCGTTGTTGTGGTTTCCATGGGGATTTAAAAGATTAATACTGGGCCTCCCTGCTGGCACAAGGGGTTAAGCACAGCACTGTGAAGCTATCTGCAGCCTCTCCAGCACAAGTTCAATGCCCAGCTAGCCAGGGAGCAACCCACATGGCGCAGCAGACCTTTCCTGTCTCACCTGCTGCTCCCCTCAGCAGTGTATTTCAGTCAGTCTGCCTGTTCTGTTCCTCACTCTGTCTCTGGTGAATCCTCTCACCTCCCACACTTCTGGCCTGTACCCCAGCTCTTGTATGCATAAATAAATAAATCTTAAAAAAAAAAAGATAAATACATATAAAACCCTCAGAACAGTTCCTGGCACATAGTAATTATTCAATAAATTATTGTTACCTCCTAAAGGGAGCACTAGTACATTATACTCTCGAGTTTTCATTGACTACTTAATGCTAAAAACAAAGTCAAAACACTTTCAGTTCCCAATTAAATTTTTTAATTTTTGGCTTTAGAGCCTCCTTGGTGGTGCAAGGGATTAAACTTCAGCACTAAGAACCTATCTGCAGCCACGGCAGTACCAGTTAGATCCCCCGCCAGGGAACTAACTCACATGGCGCAGCAGACCTCTCCTGTCTCGCCTGCTGCTTCCCTCAGCAGTGTGTTTCAGTAGATCCACCTGTTCTGTTCCCTACTCTGTCTTTGGTGAATCCTCTCACCCACCCTACCCAACCCCCACTCCCACCCCCGCGGCACCTCTGCCCTGTACACCAGTTCTTGTAATGCATAAATAAATAAATCTTTTTAAAAAAAAATTTGGCTTTACCCACTAATACATTTTACAGTACTGACACATAGTATATCTTCATTAGAAGCTTAAGTTAGATTAAACAGTTTACTCCACTAGAGTCATTTGCAATCTAGTACTCTCCTTTTCCTGAATCTCAGTGAAACATTCCTAATTCTTTGCATTTACTTCAAGCTGTACTTTCTAACCTGGGGGCTATCTAACAACTCCTACTTCAACCCTACCATTTCCAGATCAGTTCACATCTACCTCCATCCAGTCCCCTACCTTCACTGCACGCCTCTTTATAATTCATCTCCTATTTATAAGCCCATTTTGTACTTCTCTTCATGCTCTTCATCATATATTTTATTTGTCTATGTCTCTCACACACTAATAGCTTTCATCCCCCAGGTTACTTTACCTTTCCTCTTCGTTATTCTATTCAAAGCATTTAAATCCAAAACAAAGCATATCGCTATTACTGTCAATCTCTTACCCTCCTAACTCAAAGTAAAAGTGCAATGGTAAGTTAATTTTAGGTGATTTTTAAAAATCTTACCCTAAAATGAAAATTTAACTGACAATCTTTTGATTATGGCATTGTTTTATATTCAGATTTATGGGGAAACCAGCTAAATCAAAGTTGTTCTTCCTTTTTTTTAAAAAAGATGTTTATTTGTTTATGCATACAACAACTGGGGTACAGGCCAGAGGTGGGGGGGGGGGCTGAGAAGATTGACAAGAGACAGAGTGGGGAGCAGAACAGACGGATCTACTAAATATACTGCTGAGAGGAGCAGTGGGCGAGACAGGAGAGGTCTGCTGCACCACATAGGTTAGCTCCCTGGCTGGTGATAGCTTGATAGCCCTGAGACTTAATCCCTTGTGCCACCAGGGAAGCCCTGTTCTTTCTTTTTCTAAAAACCTATTAATGATATGTATAAATCATATCCAAGTCTGTAAATTTAATGAGGAAAGTATCACAGGGTAATTAAACAGAAAAATTAATCTATATTATAATGTAAAGTCATCTATGGACTCCTACATTGGTACTAATTATTTTAATTTATCACCAAAGTAACTAAACATGTTACCCTATGAAGAGAAGGAACTGTACCAGGAGGGGAAAAATATTCTTTAAGAATCAAAAATATGTTCCAACCACTATGGAAAGCTGGGTGGAGATTCCTCAACCTACTAAAGATAGAGCTTCCATATGATCCAGCAATTCCACTCCTAGGTATTTACCCAAAGGACACAGAAACATTAATTCAAAAGGGCACCTGCACCCCTATGTTTATAGCAGCACTATTTACAATAGCTAAGCTATGGAAACAACCCAAATGCCCCCAAATAGATGACTGGATCAAGAAGATGTGGTACAGGGCCTCCCCTGGTGGCGTAGCGGTTGAGCGCTGGGTTGCGAGGCTGCCCGCAGCCTCTGCTGCGCCAGTTCGATCCCCGGCCACCGGCAAGGGTCCCAACCCCCACCCAAAAAAAAGAGATGTGGTATATACACGCAATGGAATATTACTCAGCAATCAAAAAAGATAAACTCATGCAATTTGCAGCAACATGGATGAAGCTGAAAGGGATCATACTCAACAAAATAAGCCAGAAAGAAAAAGAAAAATATCAGATGGTCTCACTCATAGCAGAAATTTAGAAAACCTAAATAAAGGACCAGGAAAAAGACTAATTATAATAAAGAAAAAAAAATCAAAATAGTGTGTCAGCTATAAAGGAGAAAAGGGATTCGGGCCAAAATAAGGGGGGATGGGTTGGAATTGTACGGGGAATATAACCAAAATGAAAATGTATACATTGTGCAAAAATGAAAAATGATGTAAGAATTATATAAAATAAAATATAAAAATAAATAAAGCTAGGAAAAGGGAAGCAATAAACATTGCCTTGACCTACTGGCCCCGTGCTTGTTTGGATTCAACTTTAATTTTTTAGTTTCCATGGCTTCTCTGACTTTTAAAGATTAAAAAAAAATCAAAAATAGCTGCCTCTGAAAACTTGAACTTCTTTTCAGATTAATTCTTAATAAACTTAATCCCATTTTTTTCTCAGGTTCCAATAACTTAGGAGCAATAAACCAGAAAAGAGTATAGGAAAAGGTTATTAAAGCTAGACAAAAAGATTACACAAATGACTCCTAACCCAGAAAAAAGAAAAAGATCAAGGACACTCTAAAAACAATGAGAATTAAGATGTACCTGAAATTTTTTAGACTACATTTTACATAAACACAATCAATGTGTATATTAATTCCAAATAAAAGTATTCTGCTTAATATGAACCAAAAATCATGCACTTTAAATATATCTCAATGGAAAGGTTTACAGATTCTTCTCTAAAATAAGTTTTGAAGATCAAGTTTTAGTCACCAAGAATTTCACTTACAAGAAATATTTCATTTTCTTCTAGCTATACAAACATGTTAATTTTTATAGAGCAAAAATTATTTTGATAGGTAATACACTAAATTTACTTTTAAAATTGTATAGTCTTTATTTTCCCTAGCGTAATAAGCAGTACCCAACAGATTTCAGGAAAAAGATGGGGGGGGGGATCACTCTTGTCCTAGTTTCTCCTAACATTTATTTTTCCACATTTTTAAAATATTTGGCTGGCATTTTCTCCTTGCTATTATAGGTCTTATCGCCTTCCTGTTTAACAACGGTCTAAAAAGTCTAAGGAGGGATGAGTCAAGCCTTACTTATTACTTACTCATTTCCTTATCAACAGCATTTGCTTCATGTTCAGAGCTATCATAAAAAATATAGTGGCATCATTTTATATGAAATCCTACTATAATTTTAGATTCTTCTCTTGGCGAAACCAACAAGCATAAAAACTCAAGACTTTTTTTTTTGGTTGCTATTCCTCAAAAGTAAATATTTACTGAATGACCTTGTAAGAGCAGGTATTGTTCTTATGATGTACTGATGAATATGATAAACACAGTTCCTCAATTAATGAAGTTGGTGAAGTAAGTAGTCTTCATATGTTAAGAAAAAAAGGAATAAAAACAGTACCCAAACATGGGAAATAAAACCATTTCCCTCCCATCCCAACTACTTTTTACTGTTATACACTTTTTTTTAAAGGTTTAATGTGCCCTTTTTTAAAAATATTTATTTATTTATTTATACGTGCACTGGGTACAGTCAGAAGCGCAGGAGGGTGAGAGAATTCACCGAGCCAGAGCGGGGAGCAGAGCAGGCAGAAGGACCAAAGACACTGCTGAGGGCAGCAGCGGGCAGCAGGAGAGGTCTGCGCGCCATGTGGGACCCTCTTCCGGTGGCCAGGGAGCAGCCGGGGATCGAACCGGTGCTGCAGAGACTGCGGGCAGCTTCGCAACCCAGCACTCAACCGCTGCGCCACCGGGGAGGCCCTGTTATACACTTTTAAAATATTTATGTGTGTCAAGACAATTTTTAAAACTGCTAAATTGTTTTCCAGGAGTTATACCACACTATGTGGTCAGCAAATTATACATTGGGTATCTTATTTTTCTACTTTTTTAAAAAACTGATTCATACTGGGCCTCCCTGGTGGCACAAGGGTTTAAGACACAACCTCTGAAGCTATCTGCAGCCACCGTAGCACGAGTTCAATCCCCACCCAGGGAGACACCCACATGGCACAGCAGACCTCTCCTGACTGACCCGCTGCTCCCCTCAGCAGTGTATTTCAGTCAATCTGCCTGTTCTGTTCCCCACTCTGTCTCTGGTGGATCCTCTCACCCCCCACACCTCTGGCCTGTACCCCAGTTATTGTATGCATAAATAAATCTTTAAAAGAAAGCAAACTGATTCATACTTATTCTATTTAGATGGTAATCATTACTCATGTTTATAGTATTTCCAAAAATGACTGCTTTTTCAAGTAAAATTTTTATTTTAATGAAATTGGCCATTTTCAATTAATTCTGTAACTAAGCCTAGAAAAAAATCTTGAAGAGATTAAAATATTCCATTTTAGGGGTCTCCCTGGTGGAGTAGGGGCTTAAGTCTCAGCACTATCACCGCAACAGTCTGGATTCAACCCTAGGGAGCAAACCCACATGGTGCAGCGGACCTCCTATCTCGCCCACTGCTCCTCTAAGCAGTGTACTTCAATGGATCTGCCTGTTCTGCTCCCCACTCTGTCTCTGGTGATTCCACTCACCCCCTGTACCTCTGGCCTACACCCCAGTTCTTCTATGCAAAAATAAATAAAATCTTTTAAAAAAAAAAACTTCCTAATTAAAAAAATATTTTCTTTGATTTTCCTTTAACTTTCCACTTTTACATTTGTTAACTACATCTGTATTCATCCTAGTTAGAATATGAGAAAGATCTAAACTAATATTCTTATTATTTAGGTATTCAAGCAATTCTCCCTTTCGTTTGTAATGTCTCTATTATTATATATTACCATCCTGACATACAATTTATCTGTTTACAGGTATAATATTATCTTTTCCTAGTACCACATACTTTAACTATTAAAACTTTCTAATGTTTCAGTGACTTTCTAATGGTTCAGATAAGTCAGTACCCACTAATTTACTCTTCTGTTTCAAAATTTTCTTTGGAATTAGGATTGGAAGTCTTGCTACATTTGTAATATTTAGCTTCCTATCAAAGAATATCACTATGTCTCTCTGTAATCAAATCTCAAGAAGACTTTCTGATTCTTAGCATTAGCACATATATTTCTTAAGAACAGTATATATCTAAGCATTTTTTTTATTTTTGGATTACTATTATGATTGGGACCTCTTCTTAAATTTTCTAATTAGTGACTACATATATATCAAAAATCAAATGCATTTCCATCTATCTTTGAGCAAAGCTTTTCATTTAATGCTCAGATATTTATTAACATTTCAACTGATGTATCTGTCTTTCCTAGGAAGCTGTTTTATAAAGTGCCCAATTTTCTGACCACTAAGCACAAACCTGTATCCATCTCCGTACTTCTCACTGTTTTTTTCTCTTCTGCGCCTTTGTTTCTCTCGCCGAGCCTCAATTCGTCGCTTTTCTTCTTCTTCTTTTTTAGGATCAGTTTTTGCTAGGGTATCAGACAAAAAAGACTTAATATATTTTTCCATTATTTCTTTCAAGTCAACAGTTCATGTAAGTTCACAGACATACATAGTTTATTTAGTGACATAATCTAAATTGCACTCATCAGAAAAATCTGAGTTTGAGATTACTCAGTATTTTTGAAACTTCATTTGAATATCATCATTACGAATTTTTCCATATTTACTTCTCATCTACATGGTTATTTACTACATATTTTTTAACCTGCCTCATTTTTTCTTAACCTTTTTTTAAGCAACAATATCCATATCACCTAAGATCATCTTAAGTATCACTTTGGGATCCTTAAGTAATCTTTGGGATTACTAAAGTAATGTACTTTATGTAAATATTACTTCATACTCACATTAAGCAGTCACTCCCCAACGAGTTTGCCCCCTATCCCTGGCAACTGCCAACCTGCTTTGTTTCTATAGATTTCCCTATTCTGTTATGTCATGTAAATGGAATCATACAATATGTGACCTTTTTGTCTGGCTTCTTTTATTTAGCATAATGTTTTCAAGGTTCATCCATGTGTTCTGCCACCTATCAGTACCTCCTTCCTTTTCATCGCTGGATAATACTCTACTGCGTTGATGCACCTCTTATTTGGGTTGTTTACCCCATCTGGTTATTGTAAATAATGCCACTACAAACATCCATGTACAAGTTTTTGTCTGAACACTTCAATTCAAGGAGTGTTGAACTGCAGGGTCATGGCAATCTACGTTTTATCACTTGAGGAACCACGAAATTGCTTCCCAAAGCAACTATTCCATTTTACATTCCCACCAATAAGTGTAAGAGGTCTCAGTTTTCAATATCCTCACTAACATTTATCATTTCAATTATTTTTATTATAGCCATCCACTTTACATGGTGTGACATGGTATCTCACTGTTAATGTAATATATGTAAAAATAAAAACTGAACTGCTCTTAAACTTTCTCTTTTATGCATTATCATTTACCACTAGAAAATATCTACAAAATCATGAACACAGCAAGCTAATATTTACTGTATTACCCGCTAGGTAATACAATGGGATGTTTCAAAATTATATAAAATCAGTACTTCAAAAATATATTTTTTGCTTTAAGAACTTTAATGTAATTCTTATTTTATAAACCATTTTTAATATCCTCATTCAGTTTCCCTCAAACCTTCAATCTATGAAAAATCTACTTATATATTATCTCAAACAACAAGCAATTTGAATTCACTTTCATAGACTAAATGTTTTATCTCCAGTCAAATGATAGAATATGATTCCCTTTCCTATTGATTTCTAACAAATCTCAGTCTACACTTCAGTGTAGTAATAAGACCTCTTATTTCTGAATATTCAGTAAATACTTCACACTTGACTACAAAAGCCTGTTTAACCAAAGAATTTTGGTTTTATTCTCACCTACAATTCAGTACTCTCAAATTCTGTCAAAAAGGAAATAAAGTTGAGTCATATATTTACTTTAATAGCAAATCAATGTATATATCAAACTTTAAAATATTTAATTGTATCTGCAAAGTGTATCTTTGAAATCTGCCCCAAGAAAATCACCTGAATTGTTTGTTCCAGTAATACCCAGAGTACACAATTTGGTAAGTAACAATCTATCAATTAAAAGTTCAAAAGGTATCCCTACAACACACACTCCACTAGCTTACATGGCATCAGGTTTCCAGAATTCCAGAACAGTGCTATTTTTTTATTAAATAGATTATCAGTTACAAACCATGGCAGGAGAGTAGATTTAAGAAAATTAATGTTTAAACATTAATAAACAGATAAAAATATTATTCTAAGCAGAACTTTCCCCCAATTAAAAAAACAGCTATGACAAGTTCATAAAAAATATTGTACTTCTCAAAGTACTCATAATGTCATATTTGACTATCATAACTTGGTGGAATATTTCAAATAGCACATTTTCTCCCACTGAGATAATCTTACCATCAGTCTTATCAGGGGCCGTCAAGATTTTAATTATTTAGTGGTAAAGCAAAACAAGAACACTACACCTACTGATCTCTGCTCAATGAAAACGGTTACCATGAAGTTACAGGCACTACCTTAAGTCTGACAAATTTATTAACATTAAAAAAATATGGTCCAAAAAGTATAGATAAAGTACTTATTAGCCCCAAATGCCTGGCCAGTACCTAGCAGTGTTGAATAAAAGCAGCCATCATTGACATGACCAACATCAATTGCTATGAAATTGACATGAACCAGCTAACTTGTAATTCATCTGCATTTGACAGGCAGAAAAAGCACAAAGTCAGACAAGAATGTCAGAATATGGATATATGTGTAAATTAGGAATGTATAAGCCTGGATTTAAAAAAAAAGACATCAAAATATCAATTATCTCTGTATGATAGGTATATGGATGATTTTATTCTTTTGCTTAAATTTCTGTAATAAACTGTATTAACAAGAAAAACTGAATATTATTCAAAAATGTATCTAAGATATAAATACTTCGATTAAAACTGAAAAAACTAAATCTTCTGATTTTGTTCTTTTTTTTAAATATTCCAGGCTTCCAACTTAAAGTTATTTTCTTTTTCGTTCTTTCTTTTTTTTTTTTTTTAAGATTTATTTATTTATTTATTTATACAAGCACTGGGTACAGTCAGAAGCGTGGGAGGGTGAGAGAATTCACCAGAGCCAGAGTGGGGAAGAGAACAGGAAGAAGGACCAAAGTGCACTGCTGAGGGGAGCAGCAGGAGAGACAGGAGAGGTCTGCGCGCCATGTGGGACCCTCGCCCAGCGGCCGGGGATCGAACCGGCACTGCAGAGGCTGTGGGCAGCTTCGCAGCCCAGCACTCAACTGCTGCACCACCGGGGAGGCCCTGAGTTTTGTTCTTATAGGTCCTACATTCTGAGAGAGGACACTAACATTTTCTTTCTTTTTTTTTTTTCTTTTAAAGATTTATTTATTTATTTATATAAGCACTGGGTACGGTCAGAAGCGCAGGAGGGTGAGAGAATTCACCAGAGCCAGAGTGGGGAGCAGAACAGACAGACTGACGAAACACAATGCTGAGAGGGATCAGCGGGGGCGGCAGGAGAGGTCAGCGTGCCATGTGGGACACTCGCCCGGTAGCCAAGTATTGAACCGGCGCTGCAGAGGCTGTGGGCAGCTTCACAGGCCCCAGCGCTCAACCACTGCGCCACCGGGGAGGCCCCTAACATTTTCGTTTTCAATTTTTTTTTTACACCTTTTTAAAAAGCTGTCTTAAAAGAGGAAAAAAGTAATAAAAGCAATTGCTGTTACAATCACATCAAGGTTTAAATGTAGGGTTTGTAGATCAAGTTTTGCCCTGGAATAAATCCTGACTTTATTATCTACTGGTTCTTTGACCTAAGCAGCAAGTTATGTATCTGCTCTATGCCTGCTTTTTCAGGTGTTAGTGATTTGATACACATAATCACTGTAGGCTGATGCAAAACTAATTTACTATTACCTTTTTCAAGATTTTATTTATTTTGCGCAAAAGAGCTGGGGAGTAGGCCAGAGGTGCAGGGGGTGAGAGAATTCACCAGAGACAGAGTGGGGAGCAAACAGGTGGATTTACTGAAATAACACTGCCAAGGGGAGTAGCAGGAAAAAACAGGAGAGGTCTGCTATGCCATATGTGTGTTAGCTCCCTGGCCAGGGATCAAACTCAGGCTGTCATGGTGACAGCACTGAGACTTAGCCCCAAAGGCACAAGGGAGGGCTTTTTTTTTTTTTTTTTTTACTTTGCATTTCTCAATGAACTTAAATGTCAAATTACATTACAGCAAAGTTATACCTCAATAAAAGCTAAGGAAATGTCTTTCAGCATTTTTTGTGAAAATGGAATAGCAAAATATACAACTACTGTCTTGCCTATTTTCATTTATACATTTAACTAATTTTTTACCTTCAAATGCACTGTGCCTGGCATGAAGCAAGCATTTGGTTAAACTCTACCTTACTATCATCAACAATTACAACATTTCTTCTTTTATCAAACTGGATACATGTATAAATCCTTAAACAATTCAAATGTAGGTAAAATACAAAACACAAAGATACATCAGAATCCAAAAATATAAAATATACAATGAACTAACACTAATCTACAACTCTTGTTTCTTTGCCTCATTCCTCCTATTTTTCTAATTATTTGAAGGTTAGTCTCATTTGTTTAGTACCTCCAGCATCAAAGGAACACACTCTAATTCATTATAATACACAACACACCTCGTTTTTAAACTTGGATGCAAAAAACATGACCAAAAAAAATTTGGAATTCATTACAACTACCCAAACCTTTCCTAGTCCCAACTAATCAAATACTAGTTCTGAAGAAGACAATTTTTGGAACCTTGCAATGTCACTGTACTTGGAAAGATACAACACTTCTGACACGAAGGTAAAAATTATTATAATTAATTAAATATATAGAGAAAAATAGGCAAGACAATTGTTATATATTATTTTGCTACTCCATTTTCACAAGGAATGCTAAAAGACATTTCCTTAGCTTTTATTTAGGTATAACTTTGCCTTAATCTAATTTGACCAAATGCACTTGATTTCATTTAGAAACACAAAGTTTAAAAAAAAAAAGGTAAGAGTAAATTGGTTCTTAATTTTTTTACAGGCGCTTTGAGATATATTTCACGTGCCATACAACTCACCCATCTAAAGTATACAATATTCACCAATAAATGTAACCATAATCACAATCAATTTTAAAAAATTTTTATCACCTTACAAAGAAACCCAGTACCCCTTAGGTAGTACTCCGTAGACACCCACAGCTCAAAGATATCACCAATCAACTATTCTACAGTTTCCTATTTTAGACTTTCCTGTGAAAAGTCATAAAATATGAACTTTGATGAGTTGCTTCTTTTACTTAGCATAATCTTTTTCAAAGTTCCTAAAGTGGTAGCATGTATCAGTACTGTACATTCCCACTGTACATTATATTACATTCCCATAGTACTGTACATTCCCAGCAGTGAATGAAATGAGAGTTCTTATTTCTCCCCAACCTTGCTAAGGCTTGTTATTATGTCTGATTCTAATCATCCTTGTGGGTATGAAGTGGTCCCTCATCATAGGCTTGGTTTGCATTTCCCTTATAACAAGGTATTGGCTATTTTTTCATGCATTTATTGGCTATTTTATATCCTTGCTGGGGGGGACTGTCTATTCAGATACTTTGCTCACTTTTCAATTAGTTTTATCTTTTTATTGAGTGAAAAGAGTTCTTTATCTATTCTAGACATAAGACCCTTAACAGATATGATTTGCAAATATTTTCTCAAGTTTTTAATTTTAATAATACAATTTATCTTTTCTTTGTTGTTCATGCTTCTGTTGTAATATCTAAGAATTCCTTGCCTAATTCAAAGTCATGAAGATTCACCTCTATGGTTTCTTCTAAGAATTTCAATTTTAGTTCCTGCATTAATTAGGTATTGCATTTTAGATTTTGCATGTGGCTACCAGTTGTTCCAGCACCACATTCACTGAAAAGACTATTCTTCCAATAAATAATTTTGCATCCTTACCAGTTAACCACAGATTTATGAATTTATTTATGAACTATCAATTCCATTCCGTTGATCTGTCTGTCCTTATGCCAGTATCACAATGTTATGATTGCTGATGCCCTATAGAAAGCTTTAAAATCCTAAAATGTCTTTCTAGTTTGTTGCTCTTTTTCAGGACTGTTTCAGCTATTCTAGGTACCTTTCAATTCCCTATGAATTTCAGAATCAAGTTGTCAAGTTCTGCAAAAGAGTCAAGTGGAATTCTCTTAGTATTGCACTTAATCTATAGATCAGTTTGGGTAATATTACCATCTAAACATGTTACTATTGATTTACTTAGCTCTTCTTTAATTTCTTTAAGCAATGTTTTTGTACTTTTCAGAGTCCAAATCTTAACGCCTGCTAAATATATTCCTCAGTATTTTACTCTTCTTGATGCAAACACAAATGAAAATGTTTAATTTCATTTTCAGATTGGCTCTCAATTTTTAACAATGTTCAAACTGAAATATGATGAGAATCATCATGTCCAAAAAATTTAAATTAATTTTCTAGAAGAAATACTGCTTTTCCTGGCACCAAAGAACATAAAATGTTCTTCCTTTTATCCTCATAAAGGGAATTCTAGTAGTATATAACATACTGCTTCCTTACAAATAACTCAAACAAAACTGGCCTCTTTGGTGGCATAGGGATTAAAGTCTCAGCGCTATTAAGCTATCGCCAGCCACTGCAGCATGAGCTCAATCCCGTCAAGGAACTAACCCACATGGCATAGCAGACCTCTCCTGTCTCGCCCACTGCTCCTCTCAGCAGTGTATTTCAGTGGATCCGCCTGTTCTGCTCCCCACTCTGTCTCTTGTGCGTCCTCTCACCACCACCCCCACTCCCCGTACCTCTGGCCAGTTCTTGTACGCATAAATAAATAAAATAAATCTTAAAACCTCCAACAATAACACAAATCAAAGTTGTATAAGGCCTTTTAAAAAATATGGAAACCATAAAATTAACAAATAAATACTATATATATATATTTACATACATGTATATGTTCGTGTGTGCATGCTCTGGTTTTACCCAAAAGTATTTAGGGAAGAGGGATGACCAGGGCACATGAATTAAACTATCATTGGATAATTCTCCCTCCCCACCCCCCAAGATTTATTTATTTATTTATATAAGCACTGGGTACAGTCAGAAAAACGGGAGGGTGACAGAATTCACCAGAGCCAGAGGGGGGAACAGAACAGGCAGACTGACGAAATAAACTGCTGAGGGGTGCAGCGCGGCGCGGCAGGAGAGGTCTGCGCACCAGTAGGACCCTGAATGGCAGCCCGGGGATTGAACCGGCATTGCAGAGGCTGCAGGCAGCTTCGCAGCCCAGCACTCAACAGCTGCGCCACCAGGGGAGGCTCTCATTGGATAATTCTGATGTTGATGACTAATTAGTAGGTGTTCTAAGGGATTCATGGATCTGATTTCTATAATGTAACTATTATTTAGCTTGTCTGCATAACATGAAAAATTATTTAAAAGCACGGAGTTAAAAAAAAAAAAATAAGTGTCTGGAACCAAAGCAATAATGTTTTCTTACTTACTGGGTGATTTGCTGAGAGCCATCCTCTCCACGGGCTTTGCTAGCTTGGGTTTCTTGATAAAGGTTCCACCGGGTTTATTAAAAGGTTGCATCATTTTTCTCTTTATTCCTCTTGCAGCGGCAATTGTCACACTGGCGGGTTTGTTTTGATAGTCAACAACAATTCCAGGTCTATGAATGCTTCCAAAATCACTCATATGCTGCAAATTTGTGAAATCAAGCACTATTAGCATAATATCCAAAGATTAAAGTGTGAATTCATATAAAATTTACATTATCTATCTAATAATGGTCACATGAAAATCCCCCAAAATGTAACTAAATTTTACATGTCCACTTTGAATACACTGAGAAACTTTGTAAATTATTACATTTACTCAAATCCAGCAAATTAGTATTTTTATTTCCAGTAGAACAAATATGGATTTCCTACCTATTATTTATTTTTACAATTCAAAATTATTTGAGATCATATATACATGTGCCTGCCAGAATAGTACCACTTGTACAACTCTCTGACAACTCCTCTTCAGAGTTCCTAAATGATGTTTTCCCATGAAAAGACCTTAAAAGAAATCTTTATTGTACTAAAACCTTGCTTAACTAAGAAACACAAAAGAAGACCATATTTGAAGTTTGAAGTAAAAAAGATCCAGAAATCATTTACGATTTCTCCCTGTTGAAAAAGGGAATGAGGAGGCGAGATGGAACATTAGTATGAAATAGGAGAGTTAAAGCATAACCATGCATCAACTTCCAAAACACACTTCAGATAAAGAATTGCATCTGACGTTCCATTCACATTCTTACCTAGAGAAACATTCTGACCCAGAAGCCTAAGAAGCAAAAGTTTACAGACGAAGAGTCATGCAACCAAATGACTCTTTATGTCCCTTCCTCTTATCATTAACAAAATCTACTTTACCAAGAGGTCACATGTCCATAGAAATTTATTCTACTAACTTTACTTTTAGAAGACAAAGATTGAGGAGTAATCTGAAGAGAAGGATCCAATGGGAATTGTACAAGTGAAGATTTAAAAAGAAAGTCCTAGTATACCTTCATCTACACTTCATTAACAGAAGAAAGAAAGAAAAGTCCATTCAGAGTAGAATGGTGAATACAAAGTACAGGAATACCTGTTTCACTATCATGAAAACAAAATTGATATTTGAATTCTCATTAAGAAAAAAAATCATTTGCCTAAAATAATATACAGCATGGAAAATGCTTTCCAAATTTTCAAAATGGAATATTCAATTTCAAAACCCAAAGCCTATTACCCCAACTATTTTCAATTAACCTATAATCATAAAGTATGGTGGGATAGCAACATATCAGTTGCTTACATTTTTACAGTATGTTTTGGAATTCCTATCTAACCTAGCAAACTTGAATAAAATAATGTTTCCAGATAATTTATTTTGACACATCAGGAAAACCTTCATTAATAAACCATTAAAGGTGCAATGCATTTTACATAAGAGTGACTGTTATAAATGCAAACTTTCTACACAAGTATGACAGACTATACTGATGTACCAAAACTAATAAACAGTCAAAAAGTGTGCCCTACAACATTTTTTATCAGAAGTACTTTCCTCTACAAGAGATTAAGAGCAACTGACTTAAAAAATTTTTTCTTACATTACTGCAAAAAATAAAATATTCTTTATATGATCAAACTACATAATAACTCCACAATCTACATATACTTACTAGGTAAAATTTCAAGTCAGCCAAGTTACCTAAGAAGTCATAATCTTTATACTATATATCCTGAAATAAACACTTGGTATATTTCACCCATCTAAATCAGTAATTTACCAAATATTACTTCCTAGGTAGGAGCCATAAATATGTTTGTACAGATAAGAAATTATTTCTCAATAGTAAAACTAGTGACACCGGGAAAATAAAACACCCAACAATAGGACATAGAGTAAGTGAAGTGCGTTAGCAAATTCATACTGACCACAAATCATCTTACAACCTATTATACATATCAACTTTTCACCATATAAACATGGCTAAGCTACTCTGATCTATCAGCAGATCTTTACTTAGTCTCTTGTGTTTGATGTATGAAATAAGGAGCTTTGAAGAAATCTACGTGTTAGGGTTTAACAGCAAGGTATAAACATTTTATCATACATTGCACCTTTAACCTACTCAGGAACTCCAAAAGGGTTGTTACCTTTTACAATAATCCAAGAACTGTCCCACCAGCAAAACTGCTAGTGTTTACAAGGAAAAATGCAACTCCTTTTAACCCCTTTTAGACCAAACCTAGTATCTTCAACCTTTTAATAAAGGGAGATTTGGCAAAACTTATGAATAATCATCTGACACTGCCACTTATTTTCTGAAGTCCTGGAAAAATTACAGTCAACCTGAAAATTATGTCATGACTCACTTTTGCTTCAAAATACACTGGGATGAACAGTGTTTATTCTAGTTAAAACCGTGGTCTTGAAAGGGTTTAAAAGAGTGACTAGTGAAAAGAATCTGAAAAGATTCTGTTGTACTTACTCCTCGGCCTCGGCCTCTGCCTGTTGATGGTCCTCCAAAAGCATCATAGTTTCTGCTTCCAAACGTACTTTCAGGATAAGCAGGCGTTCCTCTCCCCCGAGAGCCTACAGGTGCAGGCTTCATATGGGGTGAAGAAAAACTGCTGTAGGAAGAGTAATTCTCTCTTCCTCTGTCCTCCATAAACCCAGGCCTCAATTTTGAACGGGAGTAAGGTGCTTCCCAGCTAGACCCGCCCTGGTTTCTACCTCCGAAAGAGTCAAGGCTATTCCGGTAGGAGCTCTCAAATCGACCACCATAACTACCTCCGAAGCGGCTTTGTTCGGGTTCATTAAAACCATAGCCAGATCTGTACAGATCTCGCCCACCCAGAGAAGACCTGGAGTCGTAAGACTCATAAGGTCCAAACCTGGAAAAGTTGCACAGTGAGGGAAAAAACAAAAGTAAGCTTACTAATGTTAGACAATTCAAAAGACAAATTATCAGATGACATTTATCAACTAAAATTCATTTATACCATACTGGTTTGCACAGTTCTACTTTTGTTCACACTTGATTAGGGCTGGGCAGTTCAACATGAGACCAGATAGAAAGCTATCTGAGTCAGTTTTTAAATATAAATTGAGTTCAGTAAACCTTAGCTTAAAACTCTGCTAATTTTTAGCAGTTTTACTATTTTACTAAAAACAAAAGATTTGTCTGTCATTATTTCAGCCCAGCCCTAGTCTTGGAAAAAGTCATTTGCTAAAGTTCACAAACTACTCAAACTTTCTTTGAACCTATCCCTAATATTGGAAAATACAAAATATTTACAATATTTTGACTTTCAGTAAAGACACAAATTATAGACTACACAGATATAGGCTATTTGTAACAGGCAAGATCCTATTGTAACCCCAATAATCTCTATCACAAAATTGCTTCATGTTTCTGTACTAGTCAAAATTTGGAGAATTATCTCTGGTTATAAAATTTGACATCCTACAAAACTTCAGCTATCAATCTGCAATCACTTTTCACTTGTAGACTAAAAAATCTAACTAATCTATTAAATATACATAAAATACAACATAAAAGTAAAGACCACCAACATAAACCCTCTGCATATGAATTTTCAAGGCAGATGAGAAAGAATACATTTTATGTCTTCAATAATTTGAAAAATTATTTCCTGGTAGGAAATTATCACATAAAACTACTCTAGAAAAGGGAGCACACAGTCTCCTCGAAGTTTTACTAGAGTCAACAGAAGAAACAAATCATGTTACTTCTCACAAATCCAAAACATGGATTACAAAAAGTTACTTGATATCTTACAACAAAGTTTTATAAAGGCCCACAATTACACATGAGATAATAACATCTACATAGTTTATGCATGTTACATTTACAATGTAATAGGGCAATAACTGATAATTAAAACATTAAATGTTACATTACTTCAACTACTTACAAATCACTAGATAGAAGGTAATATTTACTTTTGAATCCTAGTAATTTTATATAAAAATTTTTCCTCTTCCTACTACATTCTTAAAGCATCTATCATATAAACAGAATTGTTGTGACTTCATTTTCTTATATACTATAGTGCACTCTTTAATCAGTAAGATAGAAAGTAAGCATCATTCAGTCCATCCCTAAGCAATCCAGATCCTTCAATTTATGAAGAAGGATGATTTTTCTAATGTTTCCTAACTAGTTTTACTTATATTTAGCAGGAATCTCTGTGCCTCAAAAAGTAGATCCCCTTTGCCTGAAATGTGATCAACCCTAAAGCCTGTAGTAGTTCAACTAATTTTAAGCTTTACATGATTATCAACAAATGAAACAGCAATACAATCTAAACTCTAATGCATTAAAATAAGCAAAAGCTTTATTTTATACAATGTTCCTAGCTTAGACCCCAAAGTGTCCTGGTATAAGTACCTGCCAACAAATAGCCTAAAACATGACTTAAAGAATATTTTTATTATCGCAGTATGCTCTTTTAACTTATTTTTGAATCAAAATTAAAAGAATAACTATCTTAAATGTTTTTTTAGAAATTGAATGTTGCTAGACTGGTTCAATTAAATTCATTCTAGTCAAAGATTGCTTGGCTGCTTTACATAATACTACACATTAGGAAAAGATACTATTTCCAGTAACATATTTATATCATTTGTTCAGGACATTCTGATTGATAAGGTATAAAAATAAAAGAAGTTAAAAAAAAGGTTCACTGCTAAAGATAGAAAATCTTAGAAATGGCAATACTTATCTGAGGTTTAACAAAAGCATTATCTGCCAGTGACCCTGACATAATTTTTAGAACCATTAACACCTTTAAACAATTCAATACCAAATAGTGAAATTTAAGCATCATAACATCCCTAAGTAATACTTAAATTAAAATATCCAGAATCTTATATTTGTCTAATTTATGGCCAAGTGATTAAGCAATTTACCTGCTACCCCCACCACCATCACTGTGATTGTCCATGCCATATGACTGGTTTAGGTAGGAGTCCATGGATCTTTGACCCCCATAGGATCCATGGCCATAGTCACGATCCAGCCCTATAAAGAGTTTAAAAAGAAAAAAATTAAAAAATGCTCACCTTTACTGGCACTCATAAGAAGAATTTTTAGATAAATATCCTTGAATGTCAGACCTCCATAAGATCCATGGCCATAATCACGATCCATTCCTAAAAAAGCCAATAACAAAAGGTCAGTAAAATACACTATTTTCATCAGGGATCTTTGCATAAACATAAACACAAGAGCAATCATGTAAGGTAACAATTCATCATTAACATTTAAGCTGAACTCAGACTAGACACTGAAGGGAAAATCAGATGCTAACAAAACTTAAAGCTTCAAAAAAACAGAAAGCAACTAAAAAGTTCTGTATTAAAATTATTTTCCATTAAACCAGCATCTTTTTGACTAGATTACTACTGTGTGGACCTATATCAGATAGAATGGAGTATATAATTAATAACAAATAATTTCTATCTTCAAGAAAATTCATTCAATAATGTAAAAGGAAAATTTCTGATATAGTTTTCTGTAAATGGTCTTAAGAAATGACAAATTCAAAAGCAAATTCAAAATATTATCAATTTCAATTATTTCATATAGCAACTGAAACAGATATTCTTAAAAATAAAATCAGAGTGGAGACATACTGTAATACTGCTATTTTAAGTAGTAATTACTCAACAAATATTTAAATCCTGAAATACTTTTAATACAGAGAATAATCCAACTCCAAAAACATTTTCTAATAAGATCACTAAGCAAATTTTATTGCACTGAAATTCCACCTATATCTGAAACTGACATGAAAAGTACCAAAGGTAATAAAATGAATTTACTATGACAATGAAAAATTTTTAAAACCATTTACAATGTTTCCTGTAAAGTCCTTCATTACCACACTGCCCAAACTATGTATTTACAAATACAATACTTTAAACAGAAAAAATTCCTTAATTTACATTTTAAACCATTTCATTTTAGTGATAATCACATAAATATTTTTAGTGCTAACAACAATGACAGCAAGAACCTTATAAAAATAATACTCAGAATCCTGCAACTTAAATCCAGAAACAACCTAAATGATCAACACAATTTAAGATTAAAAATGCTCCATTATTTGGGTCTCCCTGGTAGCCTAGGGTTAAGTTTCAGCGCTGTCATCACAGCAGCCTGAGTGGATCCCCAGCCAGGGAGCTAACCCACATGGTGCAGCAGGCCTCTCCTGTCTCGCCCACTGTTATCCTTAATAGTGTACTTCAGTAGCTCTGCCTGTCTGTTTTGCTCCCCACTCTGTCTCTGGTGAATCCTCTCACACCTCCCTCCCAATACACACACACCCCTCTGGCCTGCACCCCAATTCTATGCAAAAATAAATGAAATCTTTTAAAAATAAAAATTTAGGGACCTCCCCTGGTGGCGCAACAGTTGAGCCCTGGGCTAGGAAGCTGCCCACAGCCTCTGCAGCACCGGTTCAATGCCCGGCTGCCCGCAAGGGTCCCACATGGCGCCCAGACCTCTCCTGCCACACCCACTGCTCCCCTCAGCAGTGTATTTCCTCAATCTGCTGTTCTGTTCCCCGCTCTGGCTCTGGTGAATTCGCTCACCCTCCTGTGCTTCTGACTGTACCCAGTGCTTGTATAAATAAACAAATGAATACATAAATAAATAAATAAATAAATCTTTGAAAAAATTTAAAAAGTAGTCAATTATTTGTGTTAAAAGCTGTTAAGTACACAATATAATTTACACACATAGCCCTCAAATAGAGGAAAATTTCGAGATAAAAGGCTTACAAAATAGAAAGCTTCCCTCTAAGGTCTTCTATTTAAAAAATAATCTTAGAGTTAGGTTCAGATAGGTACACAAAGCAAAAATTGCTTCTATATTGTTATTTCTGCTAGTTTCTATTTTTGATTTGGCAGAGGCTACTTCTGGATACTAAATCCTTTAGGGTTTTTTGGTTTTGTTTGTTTTTTTTTTGATTCTACGAACCACTCACCTTGCACCAAGCCCTGGGGAGTACACAAAAATCAAAAAGCTATTTTTACATAGTAATGACTTTGGTTTATTGTTCATAGCTCTGGAACTATGCAGTTAATTAAAAAAAAAGAGGAAAACTTTTTGTAATGTATACAGTCAGTTTGATTACAGGGAGATAGATTACATAAAAGGACTATTTCTACATAAACAATATTCTTCCAGGTTATCAAATGAATTTAAAATTCACTTTAAAAAACTATAAACACATAATGTTATCTTTTTACTGCTAATATTAAATGACAAAGTGATTCACTCAAAAGTAAAACCAAGTATTTTCAATTAAATCTAGTCTATGGCTTCGATCATTTTACCACATAAATGATACACTACATATTAAAATTCACTTGCAATTAAATCACAAAAATGAGATGTGAAATAGCAGGAAAAATACAATTTATTTAAAATCAAAATAACTGATATGTGACACCAAGTCTTGAATGGGACCACTTTTCCCTACCTCCTTGAATGGGGGCCACTAGCATCTCTCATCTGGATTACTGCAACAGCCTAGAAGCTGGTTTTCCTGCTTCCACTTTTGCTCCCTTTCTGTTTATTATAAAGAAAATAGCTAAAATGCCTATTAAAATATAAGCTAAGTCACATTCAATACCCCTATACCAGTACTTCCTAGAAGCACTATCTCTAATCCATTCCCTCCCCGAGAACATTTGGTAATGTCTAAGAACATCTTTGGTTGTCACAACTAAATGGTAGGACTACTGGTATATAGTACATTAAGGCCAAGATACTGCTAAGCATTCTACAATACACAAGACAGTACCTCACAAAAAGAATTATCTAGCCTAAAACATCAATAATATCAAAGCTGAGAAATCCCGCCCTTAATCTCACACCCACACCCATACACCACCTTATTTTTTTTCTCCCAGCCCTCACATTTATTCTCCAGCAATAGAAACTCTTCAGAGATCACCTGCTGGAAACCTAACCTACCAGACAGAGCTTGGCCTCCTGCTTGTCCTTTCTCCTCCGCCTGGATGACACCCATTCAATGTTGAAAACCACACACCCCACAGTCCTATCCCTTCCTGCAAGGCCTGCCAGCCTGCATATCTATCTCAGTGATATGCCTTGCTGCTCCAGGGATCTCCCTCCACCTCCATGGTGGTTATTCAATGGTTCAAGTGCATAATCATAGTTGAGGTTCTTGTACTTGGGAATGGACCGTTTTTTTCCCCACCACCATTCCTTATACCCTAATGACCCTTTCTCTCTCCTCCCTAACCTGAAACATCACCTTGTTAGAGCCCACTCATTTTTATATGTATTTTGCTTTGTTACATGGTCTTTTATTAGAGTCCACGCTTTCTTATAAGTACTGTACTTTGCTGAATGGCCTACTATGTAAATATCCAATGTTTGTCTTCGTCATTCTGTTCTGCTTTACTACAGATAATTCCCTTGAACTTGCACTTTGCTGTAAATACCAACAACTTATCTTTCCTTATGGAAGAATACTCCACTGCATGCATATAACACATCTTGAGCCAATATTCTTTTATCAGTGGACACTTAGGCTGTTTCTGTTGTAGCTATTATAAACAATGCTGCAAACATTGTAGAGCTTTTATTTTGGAGGTTGATGGTTTCAAATTCTTTGGATAGATGTCCCTGCGTAGGATTGGGTCATAAGGTATTTCTATTTTTAGTTTAAGGTAAATCCAGATAACTTTCCAAAACAGCTGCACCAGTTTACATGCCCATCATCTGTGTAAATGATCCCTCTCTCTTTCTCTATATCCTCTCCAGCACTTGTTAGGAGTCTTTTAAATATGTGCCACTTTTACATGTATGAGATGGTATCTAATAGTGGTTTTGAACTGTATCTCCCTTATTAAAGCAATGATTTTTTTTTTGTGTGTGTTGGCCTTCTGGATATTCTCTGATGAGTTATATATTTAGATCTGCTGCCCATTTATTAACTGGTTTGTTTTTATTATTAAATTATTTCTAATATATCTTGCATATTATAATTTACACATTACACAATCCCTTGTCAATTGTGTAGTATCTAAATATTTTCTCCCACTCAATGGGATGCCCTTTTAATGCACTTATATTTTCTTTTGCTATGTGAAAGGTATTTAATTTGAAGTAATTTCAATTATATTTTTGCTTTCATGGATTCAAATACCAAAAACATCTAAATGATGGCACAAAACAGCAAAAATCTTTCTATATGTCTTACAGTCTTTAATCCATTGTGAATTTATTTTCGTGCATGGAGCTGGAGAATGATCCAATTTCATTCTTTTACATGTAGCTATGCAGTTTTCCCAGCACTTCTTGTTAAAGATTCTCTCTTTTCTCCCTCCGTCATGGCTCCTTTATCATGAATTAAGTATTGATACATTCATGGATTTACTTCTGGGCTTTCAATTCTGCTCCACTGTGTTATGTGTCTATTTTTATACCAATACCATAGTTTCAATTACTGCTGATTTAGAGTATAAAGTCAGGTAACATGATACTCCTATTCCCTTCTTTTTCCTTAGGATTGCTTTTTTATTTCAAGGCCTTCTAGGGTTACATATAAATTCTTAGGTTTTCTAGTCAATTTATTTAAAGAATATTGCTGGTATTTTGGTGGGCATTGTGTTTTGGATCACATTATAGAACATAATCTACAATATAATCTCATTTTGATCATATTTATTGTCCCCATCCATGAACATAGAATATCCTTCTATATCCTTATGCCATGATCAAAATCCTTCAATAATATCTTATAGTTTTGATTGTACAGCCCTTTAACTCCCTGATTAATCCTTACGTGTTAAATTCTTTTTAAAGCGATTGTGAGTGAAATCATTTTTTTCTTCTCATTCGCTATATAGAAAAATAACACAGGTCACCTTTTAACTTTATCATGGAGCACTGAGCCTTGTTCACTCTATTCTAGCTACACTAAGTCCCCTGCTATTACAAGAATATAACAAGCACACACCCATTTTTGCACCTGCTATCCTGTCTAATTGGAATCTTTTCCCTGTACCTGCACTGCCACTCCTCTTTGTTTCAGGTCTTCACTTTCTATTGCTTCTTAGATATAAACAGATCACCTCTGATTTTTCAATGCTCTGACTATACCACAATACAATAACCTTGTTTAAGACTGTTTAGCAAAAATCACCAACTCTATTCAAAACAGTCCTAAATCTCACTTAAGCACAACAGTTACATCATTGTACCTGCTTTCCTTCTTCTGGAATGTCCTCCATTTTTTAGACTGCTGTTTATATAAAATGAAGCATTATGAAACAAGAAGGAAACATGGCGACACTGGAAATAGAACTTCCTTCCAAGAAACAATGTGGAAGAAATCTGTATCTTGACATGTTCCTTCTACTTTATTTCAGTTGCTGGAAAATACAGTGCTAAAATGACTTGAATTTTTGGCTTCATGTAGTAAGGACACATCTTTTATTTCCTTAAGTCTATAGCATTCTTTCTCTGGATAGCCTCATGACTTTGTCTCCTCATCTTCCTTACATATCTATATTCAAACTGTCACATTTTTAGTGAGTTCTTCCAAAGTTATTCCCTTAAAAATTGTAACACACACACAGATCACCTTCCCTGTGTTGTATTTCTCCCTAGCAATTACCATCTAACATATAACATATACTACTTCTTTGTCTTGTTTATGGTTGATTTCATCTCATTATACTGAAACTGAATGAGGGCGGGCATACTGATCCATTTTGTTCACTGCTATATCATTCAGCTTCTAGAACAACAGCTGATATACTCAGCAGACACACAATAAATATCTGTTGGTTGAATGAAGTCAAACAATAACCCTGAAATTTAGTCCTATATGTATAAAATGTAAACACAGGCCTCAAGTGTTGTTAAGCAGTGGTCTTTAACTAAAAGAGCATTTCAAAATCATTCTGAAAACTTTCTTACAACGTAGAGGCAGGGAACATTTGCCCTAAAATTTAGATCCAATGACACTAGAGTATAACCTGAGCAAATATACTTTGAAAAAGCTCCTCAAGAGTCTAACAATCACTCTCAAATGTGAAGTGCTAAAACTAAAGAGAAAAAAATAAGTCATATTATTAGTGACAGAATTTCTGAAGATTTTTATAGCACTGTATAAAATTTTTTTTTTAAAAGTCTGCCTTCTTTGATTCTGCTTTTCCAGATCTTTAGACATTAATTCCAATTCTCAACAGTACATCCTACTAGAGATCATGCCATTCCAAATCTCTCTCTTAGTAAAAGCACTCGCTCCAGATTTAAATCCCGGGTTAATTTTCATTTACCATTCTCAATTTTCTACTCACTACTAGTCAACCTGCAAATCTTTCTAATTTTCTCTGGAAGCATCTTAATACTTTCAGATTACTACTGTTGCCTCCCAAGTTCAGGATCTTAAAATCCTTTACACTTATGTTTATATACTGGCTTTATAGCTATTTTCAATCTAATCTACATGTGCATATAAACTATTTTTATGTCATTCCGACTACTTTCTATACATTGGATCCTTTCAGCTTACATCAAAGACTAAGTTTTCAATATTTTTAGAGATGATAAATAGAAATTAACAGGATGGTAATCACTCCCACAAAATGGGATAGACTTCTTTATTTAGTAGTAATTTGCTATTGTTTTATTTTATGAACATATTATATTCTATACAATGGCTAAATTTTGTATTTTTGGTAATCAGGTATTTAGTTCTACTCCCTGGGGTCCTTCATGTTTGAATCTCTTTGAATTATCCCAAGTTCTTTTTTGTGTTATCATTCTCCTTGGCAGGGTCTTGGTTCTAATAACTATCAAAATGGCATCTAACTGTATTGTGATTATATCTCATAACCTTACAGATGACGGTAATTCTCAGGCTTCTTCATGTGCTCTTTTAAACTGCTCTTCATGTATTAATACATTTGGATACACTGAAGCAAATGACCTCAACAACAATGTCAAAATGCATTACAATAAGAGCAATATAGAAGCCAATCAATAAACTATTTAATCTATCACTCAATACTGAAGCCTCTAATACATTAAATATAACTCAGCTAGTTTCCTATAACTCATCACTCTGAATGTAGTCAAAGCCCTTTGGAATAAATTAAAGAATCGTAATTCAAATGAAACAGACAAAAATTAAACTAATGGGGCCTCCCCGGTGGCGCAGTGGTTGAGAAGCTGCCGGCATCCTTTGCAATGCCGGTTTGATCCCGGCTGCCAGCGAGGGTCCCACATGACATAGAGACCTCTCTTGCCGCGCCCACTGCTCCCCTCAGCAGTGTGTTTCGTCAGTCTGCCTGTTCTGTTCCCAGCTCTGGCTCTGGTGAATTCTCTCACCCTCCCGCGCTTCTGACTGTACCCAGTGCTTGTATAAATAAATAAATAAATCTTTTAAAAAAAATTAAACTAATGGCCTTAACTTTGTTCCTAATTCAAATACTATGTATGACAACATTAACACTGAAAAGTAATACAACAGGGAACAAAGCAATGATTGAAACTATTTTTTTACATTGGTACTTTATCTTTACATATACGAAGAGAAAAAAAAAAATGCATTCCCTTAACAGGTAAATGAAAGACGATACTCACCATTAAAACCCTGATAAGTATTCCTGCAAGCAGAGTGTGTGTAATCTATGAAGACACATTTAACAGAAAGGATTAGTGCAATATTCACAAAAATCTGCAATTATATATCTATCTACTCAAAACAAAACACAACTGTTTAAATGCCGTTAATTAAAGTATTTGCAAAATGGGTATACATAATTACTAATATTTCACACAGGGAAAAATATACCACTTTCTTTGCACTATCTCCCCAAAATGGAAAGTCTGTCATCCAAATTATGGCGATGTAAAAATTAGCTTATAATACCTGATATACAATAACAGGTCAAAGAGGGAATCCAGTACTGATTTATATAGAAAGCAGAGATTATGTATCAAAAACGCAAATAGAGAAAGCAGAGATTAAATATCAAAAAAAATGCAAACAGCAAGGACATTCTGAGAACTGATTCTATGTAATACCTAATTTTTTTCAGTTAATATTTTCTTTTATCACTTTATTTCTCTCAAAAGATCACAAGATCTTATTTGAGAAACGCATATGCATGTATGTCTACATGTGCTTGCGATACCCATCAAGGATGTGGCACCACCAAAAACTATAATGCCAATTTCCTTATCAAACTAAATTAGCAGATGATAATTTTACAGATAAATAGTGAAGGAAAGGAATTTAATACAGCTACACTACACAGGATTTGATCCAGAAATATTGTTAGTCGAATTTCATTCTTAAAATGACAGGAAAGATGAAGACAAGGCATAAAAGAGGAAGTATTTTACCCCGGCATTTTTAGAATTTTATCACTGACACAGTTGATAATGGTAAATTTTTAAAAACTCAAACATACTAATTTTTTCTTTCAATTTTCTACAGAAAATTAATTCTGTGGTTTGCTCGCTCGTATTGTTTCCCCCTTTCCACTCCGTAACATCTTCTGCACCTTGGGTGTTGGTACTGTCATGAAACACCGCATGAAAACATGGTAATATATTTTTAAATTTCACTCCTACTTCAAATATTCACAGTTTAAAGATAAGCTATATCAGATTGAGTCAAAGTCCAACTAAAACAAAGCACCAGAATGTGCTACTGTTAATACTGAACGTCCTCTTTCAAAGTAACTTAAAAGTATCCACAAAAGGATTATTCCAGCCCCTGTTCAAATGCTCAGACATGGCAGTTTTACTTCTTTGTTGCATGAAGTCAAAGCAAAGATCATTCCGCATGACTCACAGGCTACGATCACACCACATTCAATGTTAAAGATAATTTCCCGGTTAGATTAGAGGCGCATACGTAATTAATAAACCGGTTTATTTAAAAATGCCTGGCCCCTCTGGATGAAATCCAAGTTAAATCCACTCGGGATTAAATCCACTCAAGCAAGCTTTCTCCCATCTTCCCGAATGCTATCACTACCTCATTTCATCCTGACACCAATTCCCATAAAAGTTGGGCCAGATCTGAAGCCACGGGGAAGGCCAAATTAATTTTACAGGGAGCCTCCACGGCTTACCAAACTGGTGAGAAAGACGACTCAAAAGGTATTTTACTAAAACGCAGCTGAACCAGTAAATCCTGGCGGCTGTGCACAGGGCTGAATTTGAAGGGCATGTGACGCTGTGCCAGAATTCTGAATAACTTAAGTCCCAGCCACACACAAACCACCCCCCCAAAAAAAAAAAAAATTTTGCTTTTTGGTTCACAGGAGTGTTTCAAATGAGGGACGAACGACCAGGGTATTCTGATGGGTCAGCACTCCCGCTCGCTCACCACAAATAGCTGATTTTCCATTCGGCAGAGCTCCCTGCCCACACTTCCCCTGACGGATGTCCTTCAAACTCCTCCGAAACGAAGACGCCCAGAAACACCCCTTTAAACGCGCCTCTGCAAAAGGCACCTGGCGAGGAGTCACCCGAGACTGAGGATTTTACCAAATGGACGCTCGGGGCGGCCGCCCGCGGGGCGCCGCGCGGCGCGGCGAGGTGAGGCGAGGCGGGGCCGGGCCTGCTCGCCCCCGCGCCCGCGCCCGGGAAGTTGAGGCGTCGTCGGGCCAAGTCCCTGCCCCGGAGCCGGGGCGAGTCCCGCGGCCGGAGGCCCCGGCGCTCCCGAGGCGTCTTTCCCCGCCCGGAGGCCGGCGCCGAGCGCCCGGGTGCCCCCTCGGCGGCGGGCGCCGCTCGGGCGGGCTCGGGGCGCGCGAGTCCCCGCGGAGGCCGACGCGGGCCCAGCCTGGGCCCGAGGCGGGCGGGCGGCCTCCGGGCCCGCAGAACAAAGCCCACACGGCCATCTTGAGACGGTAAACAGACCCCCGGCGCAGCCACCCGCCTCCCGCCGCCGCGGCGACCGGCCCGCCTCGGCGCTCACCGTCGTCGAAGTCCATGGCGGGGGCTCGGGAGCGACGGCCTCGGCGGCGCGGGGCTGAGCAGCGGCGGACGGAGCGGGCCGAGAGCGGCGGGGCCACAAGACCAGTCGCGCGACCGAGAGCGGCGCTACCGGCCCGGGAGCCGCAGGCCACAGAGAGGCTGGGGGCGGGGCCGGCCGGCGCTGCCAGCCTCCGCGACGCGGCCTGCGATTGGCCGGCAGGGGCCGGGGGGCGGGCTCTCGGGGGGGCGGGAAGCAGGTCCGCTGTCACGCTCCCGGGTGCTGACCCTCTCAGGGCCGCCGGAGGGGAGGGGAGGGGGAAAGAGGAGGGCCGAAGCCGGCTGGGGTTGCGGGGAAGAGAGTTGGGGTGTTCTGGAAGGTCGGCCTGCTGCCCGCCATGTTTGATCCTGGCAAGAGCGAGCGGATCTGGTTGGAATAGCTTCCTCTTGCCCAAACTCCGCGTGCCGACCTTTGCTTTCATAGGCTGGTGGCGACCTGAGCAGAGAATGTTCAGCTGCTACATGGCGTTCCTGCCGTGGAGACGCGGAAGAACGGGCCGTTTTGTAGAACCCTCTGAGCAGGAGACGGAGTGCTGACTAGCAAACAATTATGCAATGATCCTAGACAGGTTATTAGCAAGTTCTGAATTTTGAGGTGTAAATAAAAGTGTGGTAAAAGTTCACACACAGGAACTGTAGCAGGAGCCGTCCACAATTTGCAGTAAATCCACCCCCCTCACCACCACCACCACCTCGTGCACACATAATGGCGTCGTATTATTGTCACTTTGGAAATAGTATGTTGGGGGTGGTGGACAAAGTTACTCATCTACAGGGCAATATGAAAAATGACAACTATTTTTGGTCACTTGACTCTGGAGCAGTTTGAACTCTTAACTTTAAAAAAAAAAATTCCTTTTTCATAGAGGAAATAGTCTCGACAATGAATTGATCACAGTCAAAAGCCTTCTTTGCTCTTCTTTAAGGTCCAGCCAATAGCTGGGTCCAAGTTTCTAGGAGTATATGCCTCTGCAAATAGGGCTGAAGGAAAAACTGAGCCGTATACTATACGCTACAGTGGTTCCAAATCTGGGCAGGCATTATTTCTTCCTCATCGCGTTGCTTCTCCATCCTCGTTGGTTTGCCAAGTTCTCCACCCTTTTTTTTTTCCTTTCTCTCCTATACATGTTTCTTATGCACCTGAAAGGGACATGTTGAAAACTGAACTCATAATTTCCCTCCTCAAACCTGCTCATCCTCCTTTGTTCTTTCATCTCTGTTAGTGGCATCATAAGCAACCACCCACTAATCCCAGCCAGGAGCCAACAATTTATCCAGTCAAGTCTCAGCCCTCCCTCACCCTCTCATCTCAATCCATACAGAAGTATTTCACCTGCTTATTACCTCCCAAAATGTCTTAAACTGCCTCCTGCCTCCTCTCCATTCTCAAAGCCACTACCTTAGTTAGAATGTCATTATCTTTCTCTCAATCTGTTGCCATACCTTCCTAATTAATCTCAGGCTCCCTGGATCTGCTTGATCTAAACGAAAGTATGAACATGTCTTCATGTGCCTCTATTACGGATTAGGACAAGGCAAAACTCCTTAACCTGGAGCACACCCAGCAGGATCTGGCCACTGCCTGACCTGCCAATTTCCTCCATTTCTTCCTCCTCCTCTTTCCCGGTTCTCTCCCTTTGGATCAGCAGTTTTAAGCTGCTTACATGCCCCAAACACCCGCAGTCTTTTTCACACAACTGAACTTTTGTTTATATTGTTCCCTCTGCCTGGAACACCACCTGGTTTCATCCTCAACACAGTTCAAGATTTACTTCCTCTACGAAACACTCCCAGATTCCAAACCTGCCCCCATGCCAGTACTTCTCAAATATTAACAAGCATGTGATTCATCTAGGGATCTAGTTAAACTTTGGATTCACATTCAGTCAGCCTGGGTTGGAGCTTGAGAGTCTGCATTTCTCACAAGTTTCCAGGAAGTGCTGCTACTGGCGGTTGAAACTTAACTTGAATAGCAAGGCCCTGGACTCTATTAAAAGCCTCTCCTCTCTGTTCCCTGAGTTAACATTTGCTACAGCATTATCTCCCTTGCATTGAGTATTCTATTTAGCTCTATGACTCTCCACGTTAAAAGTTCCTTAAGTAATATGAATTCAGACCTAAATCTCAAAGTTTGTCATATCATATCGGCTGTAAAATAATAATCAACCAGGTATAAGAGACATTTAAAATAAAATGGTTCACAAAGAAGGATGAAAGCAAAAGAACAAATACCAATCATATAAGGAAAAGTGAAGGTTTAATTCTAGTATCAATTACTAAATCAAAGCAAAAAGCAGTAAAAAAAAATTGGTACTTTAAGAATGCAATTCACAATAAATATTTCTCAAGGATCTTTTTGTACCAAATAACAGCTTCAAAATTCAAAAACATACAAACAGACATGGAAAAACAATAAAAATACTGAGCTGAGCATGTGATAGATGAAGCAGATTTAAAAAAAAAAAAGAATATAAAGTCCCTGGAATAATACAGTAGAACTTATAAATATTTAATCCAATATCCTTAAAACAAAAACAACTTTCCAAAATGTCCTGTAAATGCAAAAACTTGCCATGTTATGCCACCAAAACTCAATAAATTCTAAAAATTAGAAACAACATGAAACCCATTATCTGATGCCAAAGAAATAAAATTAGAAGTCAGCAAAAAAGAGGAAACAAAACAGCATAACATCCTCACACTCACCTAGAAATTCAAAATGTTTAAATAATTTTGAAAGAATATCAAACTCAAAATTATAGAATATTTGCAATGTTTAGTAAGACAAAGAAAAAACAATGCTTGAAGAGAATATTATACATTTCTACACAGTAATATAAAAGAGTTCTTTAAGATTAGAACCGAGTCGGGGCCTCCCCGGTGGCGCAGCGGTTGAGCGCTGGGTTAGGAAGCTGCCCGCGGCCTCTGCGGCGCCGGTTCGATCCCCGGCTGCTCCCCGGCCACCTGAGGAGGGTCCCACATGGCACGCAGACCTCTCCTGCCGCCCGCTGCTCCCCTCAGCAGTGTACTTCGGTCCTTCTGCCTGCTCTGCTCCCCGCTCTGGCTCTGGTGAATTCTCTCACCCTCCCGCGCTTCTGACTGTACCCAGTGCATGTGTAAACAGAACAAACAAATAAATAAATAAACATGCCTCTATAAAAAAAAAAAAAAGATTAGAACCGAGTCTTTCCTGTCTCCAAGGTGTCAAGCACATAGGTTTACCCTGTAAAACTAAGTTGTCCTTAACATGGTTAATTTTTTTCTTGTTATTATCCCCGATTTATCTCTGAAAAGGATGATTTTATAACCTGAGCTCTTCAGGTCTTGGCATAACTGGAAGGAAATAAACATCGTATCCACACATATTTTCTTTCTACTCTGAAAGAGAAAACTGGCATGCAAAAATTCCTAACTCTTGACAGTTTGGTATTCCATTGTTATTTAATAAAAATGCTAGAGAATAAAAAATATATTAACTCCTGAAGAAAACTGGCCTTGCCACAAATGCATAGAAAGCCAGAATACACAAGTCTTTTTCTGCTTTTCCTTCCTATTTTCCAAACCCTAAGTCTTACAAAGGCAAGTGGTCATACCCCAGGCACCCAGCAATACTTAAGAAACTGTCATGGTGTCCCCTAATTCATTTTGTAGACAAATATTGATTGAGCACCAATTACGTGTCAACATCATTTTCTTACTTTATTATTCTCTCTCCCCTGCCTACCCTCCAAAGTCCCTGGCCTGTACCCTATTGGCTAGGTTTAGAGCATTACCCTGAGAGGCTAAAGACTGATTTATACAGTCTTATGTCATTTCATCTTCTTATATTTCAAAATAAATGGCAGGTTAGTGAATACCCAACTACCAGTCTATTGGAAAATATTTAATAAAAGAGAGTTTTGTAAACGCAGAGGTGGAAAAGACATGGATGGAGGCCCAGAGAAAGAAGTTAATGAGGGTTGACTAAGGGAGTTGTCAGAGAAACCCCACCATCCCACTCCTCAGAATCTGAGAAGAAATGGGTGAGTGGGCTCTCTGAGGACCCAGGGACCCTCGCCTCCTAACTCTGCACCTACATACCTTCTACCACACAAAACCATCTCCTGTTCCCCTAAACAAGCCATGTGTCTTCACACTTCTGCTGTCGCTCATCGTTTTCTTTTTTGCTCCTATTCTACTTCTTTGTCGTTCTCCAAGGTTCAGAAACATCGTTGCCTCTTACCCACCAATCCTTAAGCAGTTAGTCAGAACCCCCTTCCTTCTGTTACCTTAATAGCTGTTGTGACCTGTTGAATTCTTGTTATTATCAGTGAGTTACTTCCTATGTCCCTCTCTAGTTGTTTGTTCATACATACTCTGGGATTGAGACCCTTCTTTGTACTCCCATCTGTAATCTGTATGGCGCACATTGTCACTATATAACAAAGAGGAGGAGCAGTAGCCTAGTGGCCACTGAAGAAAACACTCCAGGTTCAAAATGGCTGCTGGGAGCTTCATCTGCACAAAACCACAGCATCCTATAATTATTTGGAAAGGAAGTGATAGTGGAGTTACAAAGGGGAGTAAACCCACTGTTTTCCTAATTTGTTCCTAAATAATCCTTCCTTTCCATGTTTTTTAGGGAATTCATAAATACTTAGGGAAATCAAGAACCAAGATTCACTTGCTTATAGCAATGAAGCCAAAACTTAACATGAAGAAAATAATTCCTACTGAGGTCTCTGAAGACTTACCAAAGTTGACTTGGTTTTAGGGCCACAAGAATGGAATCTGAAAACAGCTTGTGTGACATTGTTGAATGAATATATTTTATACATATGGAAAAAATGTCTCTCCCTGAATATGTAATTTCAAAGATACAAGTGTCTCTAAAAGCTAAAGGAATAGGGCCTCCCCGATGGCGCAGCGGTTGAGTGATGGCTTGCAAAGCTGCCCGCAGCCTCTCCAGCGCCCGTTCGATCCACGGGTGAGGGTCCCACGTGGCGCGCATACCTCTCCTGCCGCCGGCTGCTCCCCTCAGCAGTGTGCTTAGTCAGTCTGCCTGTTCTGTTCCCCGCTCTGGCTCTGGTGAATTCTCTCACCCTCCC